GGCCCTTAGGAAGGAGCGGGTCTGGCAGGACGAGAGGGCCCTGGATCGGACGTGGCGTTCTGGTGTTTTCTGTGGCGCGGGAGGTGGTCGAGCCCCGCCCTCTCTCGCCGTTTCCCGCCTTCTCCCGCCGCGTGCGGTTCTGGCCCGCCGGGCTCCGCACTCCTACCCTTCCTGGCCAATTCTGGGCCCTCCATCAAGTTGCAGCTTCTAATTCCTAGAAATTTCTCTGTAACCCCGTCTCGCGTTTCGTTGGGCCACAGCTCGCATCCCCAGCTGCCGCTTTTGGTATTTTCTCTGTATCTTTGATGCTCTCTGCGCTGTCCCTCGTATGGACTTGGCTCACCGAGACTTCACAGCCATCTTCCTGTTACCAAGGGGTTTAGAACAGATTTAACAAATGTATCTTTTTCTTTTTTAATAATTATTTTATTTAACTTTATTTATTTTAATTTGACCAGAGAGGGACAGAATGAGAATGAGAGTGAAAAAGCAAACAGCCAGGTCCAGGACTCAAACCATGGTCAACCAGGTGGGAGTTTGGTGTCCTTAACCACCGTGCCACCTGCCCGCCCAACAAATCTGTCTAATGGAGTAGTTGATTTAAGTATATTCCTCTTTAAAACCATTTGCCCTCTTTAGGTCAATATACTGAGTTTACATTCTCTAAAACCCAGGCCCTAACCTGGGAGTAATTGTTAAAAACCGTTGTCAGATGTGGGTTGCCCTATTCTCTGGTCTATTTACTCGTTTTCCACCTTTAGAGAGATTCTTTAATCTCTGAATCTCAAAAGTTCTTCATCTACAAGAGGTCTTAAGAACGTTCATGAAAAATAGGTTTCATGAAAAAACTGAATTTCAAAAGCAATTTTCTTTTTTTTTTTTTTTTTTTTTTAATGGAGTCTTTTGCTATAGGGTGCATGCACTCACCAGAGAGACGGACAGAAAGCGAGAAATCATCCTCCAGGGCCATAACTATGCCACAGTTCCTTCTCCATTCTCCTCTGGAGATTTTGGGCACACATGTGCAATCCAGTCTGGGGCTGGAACCCTGGGTTGACTTTGGAGTTAAGTGACGTTATTACGCAGATGTGCTGGTCCCAAGGTATTTGGTTTTTTAGAGAGACTTTTGCTATAGGGTGCGTGCACTCCCTGGAGAGAGAGAGACAGAAAACAAAAAATAACTCTCCAGTGGAGATGGCCACACCACTATCCCTTCTCCCCTATTCTATTCTGTCTGGATTTGGGGCACACATGCACATGCAACTGGTGTGAGTTTTAAGCCCTGGGGGCCAGGACTTGAACTGTGGGACTATGTGGGAGTCCAGCGACATAAACATTATTCCATCAGCTGGTCCCATCAAAAGCAATTTTTAAAAATTTGCTACAAGATGAATAGCCACCTCTGAGGGTGGCTACTCAGTAATTTCTTACTCAGTCTTCTCAGGATTTTTTTGACATGCATGCACATGAGCCTGGTGTATTTTTCAAGTTACTTGTCCAGGACAACCACATTGTTGGCCATGTGAGATCCAGAACTGAAAGCAGTACTCCAGTGTGGCTAGAGTAGAAAGTGATGAAGGGGAGTTAGTTAGGCAGGGGTAAAACCTAGAGGACCTTTTTTTGTTACCATGACTTAAGGATTTGTGGCTGATTAGAAAGCAGTGAAAACTGGGACCAGCAGGGGATGTGGTGGTTGAGGCATTGGACTCCCATATGGCTGATGATGGTTTGAGTCCTGAGCCTGGTAGTTTGCTTTTTCTCTTTGCCTTTCTCTCTCTGGTCAAGTTTAAAACAAAATAATAACAAAATTAAATAAGTAAAATAATTTAGAAGAAGCAATGGAAACTGAAGAGTTTTCAGATGAGACTGGACTGCATGGAGAATAAGTCATTACATTATTTGTGTTTTAGAAACATTTTGTTTTTTAAAGAATTTATTTAATGTTCTGTATTTTTAAATCTTGCTACAGGACACATAGGTTCACCAGGGAGAGATGTGGGGTGGAGGTAGGGGAGGGAGGGAGTGCGTGAAAGGAAGCCAACAGGTCTGGGACTTGAACCACGGTTGGCCATGTGTGGGAGTCTAGAAAAGTCATTTTAGATGCTGTGTAGAGGTGGACAAGTTAGGGAGCTATTGTATTTCTGGTGAGAGATGATGGTGCCGTGACATAAGGTGGTACAAGTGGAGATGGGGAGAAGCAGATTTGAGAGAGATGTCTAGGGAATAACATTTCTAGGGCTTTGTAGTAGGTGTGGAGGTTCAAGGTTAAAATTGTGAAGAATACTGTCCCGGTTTCTGTTTGAGCTACTGACTGGGTAACAAGGAAAAAAGAGGAGAGGCAGGATTTTTCTCTCCACCTATCTGTACTCCTCCCTTTAAGTTGCATAGCTACTCACTAAATCCTATCTGCCTAATATGCTTCTATTTCACTCCTTCCTTTCCATTGCCCAGAGTCCCACCCTAGTATAGACCTTCATCCCTACCACTGAAATAGCCCCCAAGTAGTCTTCTAGCCTCTGCTCCTTCCCATATTCCCTCCCTACTCTAAGCTGCACAGTGATGGCAAGTTCAGTTCCCTCAAACACTTTTCCAACCTTGCCAGCTTGTCTTATGCTCAATTTTGATGGTTTTTAGGTCTTTACAGAATAAAATTTTAAAGTCCTTAGTCTGGTATTTAAGATACAGCAATTTATTCTCAATTTACCTTTTTAGCCTTCCTACTTACTACTCTTCAGTAGTCATTTTCCCAAAATAAGTTTATGAAACCCTCCTTCTCAATAATGTGTACCATCTGGTTGTCTTGGCTATCTAAATTTTATCTCTAAGTTCCACTTCAAGGTTTTTTCCTGCAGGGAAACCTTGACATTCGAGCATATTACATCCTTAGCCATGTTAGCTTCTCATTTGTTTCTGTATCATTTACTTAGTACTTAACATTTATAATGCTATTGCTTTATTAATCTATCAGACATTAATTTTTTACATATTTATATAATGTGCTCATATCTCTATATTTGTAATATATCATATATTTGATGTTTTATACAGCTTTGATCTAGATAGTATGCTGAGTAGATGGTAAAATGGGCAAAAATGACAAAACCATTTGAAAAGAATCCAGTTTTTTTAAAAATAATTATTTATTTTAACATTATTTATTCATTCATTTTAACTTGACCAGAGAGAATGAGATAGAGGAAGGGGAAAGTGAGAAAGCAAGCCACCAGGTCCAGAACTGGAACCGTGGGCAGCCATGTAGTGTCCAATGCCTTAGCCACTGTGCCACCTGCTGGTCCCAAGAGTACAGGTGTTGAGCCAACCATGCTGGCAGAAGTGGTAGGGCACTCTATGATACTGGAAACGATGTGAAAGACCCAGGTTCAGATTCTTGATCAACCCGAGCAATCCCGGGAGGCTAGAGAGACTTGTGGTAGATTGCTTCGTGATAGACCTTGGCAAGAGTGTGCGTGTGTCTCTCTCTCCTTCAAGAAATAAAGTTTTTAAAAAAATACACAGAGGGGCTGGCAGGTGGCATGGTGGTTAAGGGCGTTGGACCTCTCCCATGTGGCTGACAGTGGTTCAAGTCTCAGACCTGGTGGCTTACTTTCTTTCTCTCTGTCTCTGTCTGGTCAAATTTAAAAAAAAAAAAGTTAAATAAAAATAATTCTTTTTTAAAAAGAAATACATAGAACACAGGTTCCTAATGAAGAAATTCCAGAGAATTCTCGAGATTATTTTGGTTAGGGTAAGTATCACCTTCTCATACTGTTAGGTCAGCAAAGTCATGAGTAATTTTATATTTCTATGCAAAATATGTCATGGCTTTCCTGACAACTCAATAGTTTATAGTCCTTCACCTGTTGAGCATCCATTGTATGTATCTATATTTGTTGTCTATGGAGTTAACAGATGGGGAGGAGGGAAATCAAGTTTATTTACTTCTGGAAGCTTTACCCACCTCTGATATTTCCCCCTTATAGTTCCCTGATATGAGCAAGTATGGACCAGAAAATTTTATCTCTGGCAGCAGAAAAAACAACAGACAAATTGCAAGAATTTCTTCAAACCCTGAATGAAGATGATGTGAGTTAGTTTTGTTTGTTTGTTTTGATTTGCAAGTGTACTTGGCGGGTAGAGAGACAAAGGGCTGTGTGAAAAAGCATCCCTTGGAGCCGGCAGGTGGCATGGTGGTTAAGGGTGCTGGACTCCCACATAGCTGGCTGTGGTTCGAGTCCCAGACCTGGTGGCTTGCTTTCTCACTTGCTTTCTCTCTCTGTCCCTCTCTGGTCAAATTAAAATAAGTAAATGAAAAAATGAAGTCAAATAAAATAATTCTTAAGAAAAAAATGCATCCCTTAATGGTGATAGCCATGTTGTAATCCCTCTTCCTCTATTAATATTTGGGGCCTAGCATGTTTTGCAAGCAGCTTAACATAATAGAATATATATCCGTAAATCTTTAGAGTATTTTTCCCTCTTGTGTTCAAGACATAAACCAGGCATGGGCACAGACTAAAAGCCAAGCTGGCATAAACAAAGGGTCGCTTTGTTCTTGATTGATATGGAGCAGCACCTTAATGTAAAACCCTAGGGGCATTTCCACTAAGGTCAGGAACAAAGCATTCATGCTGTTTCTATTAGTATTTAACATTGTCTGGTTGCTCTGATCTGCTAGCCAGTGCACTTAACCTAGAAAAGACAATTAGAAGCATAGAATAAAAAAAGATACAAAACCATGTCTCTTTGCAGATAACATGCTAGTACACCTGAAAAACCCTGGAGAATCAGTAATAAAACCATCTGTGAACAAGAGTTCATCAGGTAGCAGGATTTAAAATATGCAGAAAAATAATACCATTTATTCTGGCTCAATCTAAATAGGCCTAGCAAGGTGGCTCATTTGACCTTTGGCAAATGAAAAAGACAGATTTATTGTATTACTTCTTTCTCTTAATTAACTTTTATCGTACTTAGACAAAATCTAAACTTCCTACCATGGTCTATAAAAGTTTTTATGATCTTGTGCTGGCCCTGTAGCACAACGGTTAAACACTGTGCAGATAAAACTAGATCCCTCATTGCCATCTGGGGTTCCAGTTCCAGCCCCCATGGTAACACATGCATATCCAGGATCCTGATGGAATGTACATTTGGAAGAAGAAGGATTGCAGTATTTTTGGCGCCCGTTGAAGCTTCCAAGTCCCTGGTTAACTCACTTATATCAGAAGATTTCCTTGGCTACCCTAGCTGAAGTTGCCTCCCTTTCCTCGATTATTGTCTAAAACCAGCCTCTTAATGTACTATACATTTTTTTCCTGATTTTTTTTTTTCTGTTACCCCTATCCCTCCTACTGTATCGTAAATGATTGTGCTATACATTTCCATGTTGGAGACTACCCTGTAGCCTAGTGGTTGAAGGAGCTGGATCCCATGTAGCCAACCGTTCAAGTCCCAGCCTGGCAATTTGAAAAGTATGCTGTGCCTGTGTACATGCACGTTCCATCCCAACAGAATGGAGAAGTGGAGGAGAAAGTATTGCTGTAGGTCTATGCCCTCTTGGGGAATACTTTCTTCATCTCCCTTTCTCTGTCCTCTAGCAAACAAACATATACTTTTATAATTGAAAAAAATGTTATCATGTCCATCTTGTTCATCTTTGTATCCCTCATGGGGAAAAAGAACACATTCAAAGGTTTTGTTGACTCAGCCTCTATGGCATGGGCAATAGTGTAGTGAGCTGCAGTGCTGGAAAACACATGGCCATTCATTGGTTTGAATCCCAAACTGATCTGAAAACGTGCCTGGTCTACGTACACCCCGGATCGTAACAAACTGAAGGCCTAAGGAAAGCAAAGTGTGACAAGACCCTTTTGGGGGTGGGGGGGCTTTTCTCTCTCTCTCTCACATGCTCTCATGAATACAAATAAAATAAGCTTAAGTAAAAGATATTTGTTGAATGGATATATTTCCAAAATATTGCCCAGGACTTTGTGCTGAGGCTTTGTTTTGTGTTTTGGTGCTGATTGAAAACATTTAAGTTTTTGCTATAGGCTTGTGTGCTCTCCGGAGAGGAGAGATACAAAGACAGTGAAAGGGAAAGTAAGAAATCACCCCCTGGGGGAGATGGCCACACCATAATTCCTTCTCCATTGTCCTCCTGGGATTTTGAGTATGTGTGCACACATACCTGGCGTGCTTTTCAAGCTATCCAGTCTGGGACTTAAACAGTGGTTGGCTATGTGGGAGTTCAGCACCTTAACCACCATGCCACCTGCTGGCCCTACTTTGTACAAAGTACTCAATAAATGCTTATAGAATGGACGTATGAATAGATTTCAATGTTGGTAGCATGTATCATATTAAGACCTACCATGTTCTATCTAAAGAAATAGTATGGTATTTGTGATACTTAGTCTCTGAATGATTTAAAGCTAAGTGTTCTTTTTGTATTGAGAGTTTCGGTCTTTGGATTGGAAGAGCTGTTGCCAGAGACTTGTAGAATTTTTTTTCTTACTTTGATTACAGCTGACTAATCTCCTTCAGAATCAAGCAGTGAAAGGAAAAACTATTGGAGCACTCTTGAGAGCTATCTTTAAAGGTAATAATAATTAATGCCACTTCCATCTTTTCTGGTTCATTGGTGTATTTGTTCACTTCGGCACGTATCACAACTTTTCTTACTATATGAAGCCCATTGGCACATTTTCTGTGTTTTGAATAAACCAGAGCAGCAGTCTTCTGTCTAAAATAATTTTACCAAAGGGAGTTAAAGTGGCTACCTGAGATTGTATTGCTGGTATGGGACCTGTAGAAGATATACTTTGGATAAAGTATGCTTGGGTGTTCTTGTGCTTTTAAAATTGTGGAGAAGGAAACAGCAATGTTTATACTTAATCTGTGCTTTAAAAGCTGGGAACCACTAGGGTTTAATGAAATGGAGTATCAGGGGGACATATAAAGAGATTCTGAATTCCCAGTGTGGCATAGTTATTTCCCTATCTTACAAGAAGTGTCAGTTTCATATTGTTGCAGGTTACTACTCACAGTGGTTATATAAATTACAATAGGATAAAATTCTACAAGGCAAAAATTACAAGTGGCTATGGCCTCTATACGTGTGTGCTAACTTGCTTTATTTTTTCTCTAAGTAAATTGGGTCACACTGCAAGGGTACAAAAATGTATTTTCCTATTCATGAAAGAACTTCCAAAATTAAGTTGACTTTTATGGAAGCTTGTTTAATACTTTGTAAAATACTAGAGAAAAATAATGAAAGATATATCTATGAAGGGACTTAAACAAGTTCATGGAAAAGGAATTAAAGTACAGGTTTACTTTGGTTTTAGAGTTACCACTTCCCTGTGCACAGCTCTGTCCTAGCATTCAGGCAGCTTGATCAGTTTAAACACCTTTTATTTTTAAGAATTATTTTACTTTATTTACTTATTTTTATTTGACCAGAGAGGGACAGAGTGAGAAAGAAAGAGAGAGGGAAAGTGAGAAAGCAAGCTGCCAGGTCTGGGTCTTGAACTGCAGTCAGCCATGTGAGAGTTCAGCACCCGTAACCACCACACCACCTGCCGACCCCAACACCTTTTTCTTTTAATTTGCTAGAGAATGCATGTGTTTAACAGAGGGAGAGGAAGAAAGCACATTCCAATGGGACGTGATCAGATGCCATCCATGCTCTTCCCTTTTTAAATAAATATTTAATTTTATTAGTTATAATTTATTTTGCTATTAGGCATATGCTCACTACAGAGACAGAAGGAAAGTGAGAGGGACCAGTGGATGATGTAATAGTTACATTGCTAGACTCCCACGTAGTCAACGGTGGTTCATGTCCTGGACCCGGCAGCTTAAAACTCACACTGGGCGTGTGTGTATGTGTGCCCCAAAGTCCCAAGAACAGAATGGAGAAGAAAGGATTATGGCATGGCCATCCCCCCTGGGGGTTGATTTCTTGTTTTCTGTCTCTGTTTCTGGCAAGTACATGCACCCTATAGCAAAAATGTAAAAAGAAAGAAAAAATGAGAAAGCAAGCCACTAGGTTCATAACTCAAAACAGCAGTTGGCTATGTGGGAGTCCAGGGCTTTACTCACCATGCTACCTGTTGGCCCTGGCCCCAGGCATTTTTATTAAGTTTTCCAATCTCTGATCAAAGGTGTTTTTTCCTTTATTTTAGTTCTTTCAGCAATGTCTTGTACTTTTTCTTGCCCAAGTTTTTTGCTTCCTTGATTGTTTCCTATGTTTTTTTTTTTTTTGCCTTTTTTGATACTAATGTAAATGAATTTAGTTTTTAAATTTCCTTTCAGATTATTCATTGTTAGCATATGTGAGGGGCCCTCAGGAAGTTTATGGAAAATATGAGAAAACTAAGCTTGGATTTTTGGCATCAAGATAAACTTCTATTTTTTTTTTTTGAGGTTTTTTTTTTTTTGTTATTGAGCACATGTGCTCGCTGGAGAGACAAGAGTCAGAAAGCAAGAAATCATATCACCCCGTGCACTCGCCAGAAAGACAGAGACAGAGAGATAGAAAACGAGAATCGTCCCCTCCAGAAGCTACTAGACTGTTGGCTTTCACCATGTTGTATGGCTGTTTTTTTAAACTAGGCCAGGGGCGAGTGATGGGACCAGGGCACGTTAAAAATGCTACAAAACTTGCTGTTCTTGCTGAGATTCAGCTGTTTTTTATTGGATAAACACTCCCTGAACTGTTAAAAGCCTTTATTTTCCACAGTTGTGAACAGGTTGATTTTGACTATTTCATCAGTGTTCTGGAATCTCTGATGAAGATTTTCCAGGATCCTCACACTGCCATTTCTGCTGATACGACTTAGTGATATTTTGAAATGATGTTAAAATCATTAAATTTAGGATACTGGGTTCCCAAAAAGCTGACAGTTTCCTTCTTCTGTACTGAGTAATTATTCAAATAAATAAACAATATAGGTATGGGGCCGACAGGTGGCATGGTGGTTTAGGTGCTGGACTCCCACATAGCAGACTGCGGATCAAGTCCCGGACCTGGCTGCTTGCTTTCTTCTCTCTCTCTCTTTCTCGTCAAATTGAAGAATAATAAATAATAAATAATTCTTTAAAAACCATATAGGTGGAAGGAAAAAAGATGATATTTCAATCCTTTTACTTTAGCTAAATTAGGTATGTTTCAGTGTCTAAATATCTAAACATCATAGTAATCACATAGTAATTAGCAGTTTAATAATTCTATTTCTTTATTAAATTACAAACCTGTTTGTTTTTCTTATTTACCATACAACCTTTTAATATTTTTTTTTCTGTGTTCTGTACCACCTGTTCAAAACAATAAGGTTCCCCCTGCTCTCAGGAAGCTGGAGCCCTTAGAAGACGTAAGATATACACTTGTTGTGTCCAGTTAGTGGAATCGGGGGATTTGCAGAAAGAAGTAGCATCTGAGATTGTAGGATTATTAATGCTGGAGGTAAGATTGAAGACAAATTTTTTGTTTGGGGGAGGATTATTTTGGGTTTTTAATTTTTGAGGAAAGGAAAACTTAAGTGTCAAACGTAGTGTGGTTCCAATTTATGGATACAAGCAAAAATGTTGCTGAAGGGACCACACACCACCTAGATACGTATATTACATTTGGTATCGTGCATAGAGATCTCTTTGAAGAGTTGGCATATTTGAAGACATTGAGGAGATAATGGAAAATTCTAGCCTTTGAAGTCCTTTATAATTACAGTATAAGTATGAACCAGAATGGAAGGATTCCACGAATCCCCTACATCAGTGGTTCCCCAGGCTTTCTAGCACCAGGGACTGGCCTTGTGGAAGACAGTTCCTGCACAGATGGGATGAAGGTGGTACTGGGATTACCCAAGTGCACCGCATCCACCGTGCACCCCATTTCCACCACTATCACATGATAGGGTTCGCACTCCCTTGAGAATCCACTGTAGTGCTTGATCTGACAGGAGGCAGTGTGAGTGATGGGGAGTGGCTGCAGACAGACAAAGCCTTGCTTGCTCTCCTGTTCCCTACTCCCAACTGGAGGGATATCCAAACAAGCCACGAACCTGCACCAGTCGGTCCCAACCTTACAGGACCACTTCTGAGTATCAGTATCAATTCCGTTGTTTCAGCAAAAGATACTTTCTTGCAAAGAGATGTCAAAAACTGGATTTCTGCTTAAGATTTTCTTTGTCCTGTGAACTTTTAGGCTCACCGTTTTCCAGGACCATTATTGGTTGAATTAGCCAATGAGTTTATTGGTGCTGTTGGAGAGGGGAACCTAGTCAATGGAAAATCTTTAGAGTTATTACCCATTATTCTCACTGCCCTGACTACCAAAAAGGAAGTTATGACTTACGGAAAAGGTAATTTTCTTTCTTTCTTTTTTCTTTTTTTTGGAGAGGTTTTTGCTATAGGGCGTGTGCACTTGCCAGACAGACAGACAGAAAGTGAGAAATCACCTCCCCACCCGGGGGGGATGGCCACGCTGCAATCCCTTCTCCTCCTTTCTCCTCTCGGGATCTTGGGCACGCGCACACATGCGCCCGGCGTGAGTTTTAAGCCACCAGGTCCGGACACGAACCACAGTCAACTACGTGGGAGTCCAGCAACATAGTCATTATGCTAACTGCTGGTCCCATTTCTTTCTTTTACTGGCTTTTTCTCTAATCCCTTCAGCAAACATATTTCACAATGTATTTTGTATTTCTAGGTGAACTGAGTGGAGAAGAATGTAAGAAACAGTTGATTAACATTCTCTGTTCTGCCAGGTGAGTCTTACTAATTTATAAAGCTTCCTTGGGATTATAAGTGGCCAAAAAAAGAACTACCATTTACTTGAGGATTTTTTATCTGTAAACTTTTTAGTCCATTTTTTTGTTTATAAAATTCTACTACTACAAAACTAAGTCTTTGATGAATTTTTGAGGAAAAGATAGTTTTAGTAGTCTCCGCTCTAAGACTATATTTTCTGTTTATTATCCATCTTAGCACAGCAGTAACATAGCCGTTATGCTGACTGCTGGTCCCCATCTTTCTTTTTTAAAGAATTATTTTTATTTAACTTTGTTATTTATTTATTTAAATTGGACCAGAGAGGGACAGAGTATGGGGTGGGGCGGGGGGGCTGAGAAAGCAGGTTCAAGTCTGGTACTTAAACCATGGTTGGCCATGTGGGAGTCCAGTTGCCAGCTTCCCTGGCATGTTTATTAAGCCACTGGTCCAGGGCTCGAATTGCATAATGGGCCATATGGGATTCAGTCGTTTAACCTCCAGACTACAGGCTGCCCCCTTCTGTTTTTTAACGAATTTTAAAATGACTGCTATAAAGAACACTCCCCAGTGTTGCATGGTCGTGTCTTAATCCTTTTTCTTCCCTTCCTTTCCTGTCATAATTTTGTATATGCATGCCTATATGGCCAGTGTGTTTTTCAGGCTACCAGGTTTGGAATTGGGCATGTAGCATCTAACTTTCTTAACTGTTGTGCTCCAGGGCCAGCCTGTTCATCCATTAACTCTTTTTTAAGGTTTTTGCCACAGAAAACATGTATTCGCCAGAGAAATACAGAAGGCATATGAGCAATAACCCTCCCGTGGCAATACCCACACTGCAATCCTTTCTCCTTCACTCTTTTGGGCACTCATGCACATGTGCCTGGCATGATTGTCAAGCTGCTGAATTAGAGACTTAAACCACCTTCAGCCATGTGGGAATCCAGTGCCTTAACCACCATGACACCTGCTGGTTCTATCCATGAACTTTTTTGAAGAACTCATGTATACCCACTAAACTATTAGGTCATCGAGAAAGTCATAACATATTTTTCTGTACAAAAATGCATCATGACTCTCCTGTTGACCCAATAGTATATAAAGATTTTCCCACTAGTGTTAACGTTGAATATCACATACTTTTGATTTTGTCAGTCTGATAGGTTAAAAACTGCTATTTCATCGGGAACCAGCAGTTAGCGTAATGGCTATGTCGCTGGATTCCCATGTAGTCGACTGCGTTTCGCGTCCCCGAACCGGTGGCTTAGAACTCACGCCGGGCACGTGTGTCATCTTAGCACAGCAGTAACATAGCCGTTATGCTGACTGCTGGTCCCCATCTTTCTTTTTTAAAGAATTATTTTTATTTAACTTTGTTATTTATTTATTTAAATTGGACCAGAGAGGGACAGAGTATGGGGTGGGGCGGGGGGGCTGAGAAAGCAGGTTCAAGTCTGGTACTTAAACCATGGTTGGCCATGTGGGAGTCCAGTTGCCAGCTTCCCTGGCATGTTTATTAAGCCACTGGTCCAGGGCTCGAATTGCATAATGGGCCATATGGGATTCAGTCGTTTAACCTCCAGACTACAGGCTGCCCCCTTCTGTTTTTTAACGAATTTTAAAATGACTGCTATAAAGAACACTCCCCAGTGTTGCATGGTCGTGTCTTAATCCTTTTTCTTCCCTTCCTTTCCTGTCATAATTTTGTATATGCATGCCTATATGGCCAGTGTGTTTTTCAGGCTACCAGGTTTGGAATTGGGCATGTAGCATCTAACTTTCTTAACTGTTGTGCTCCAGGGCCAGCCTGTTCATCCATTAACTCTTTTTTAAGGTTTTTGCCACAGAAAACATGTATTCGCCAGAGAAATACAGAAGGCATATGAGCAATAACCCTCCCGTGGCAATACCCACACTGCAATCCTTTCTCCTTCACTCTTTTGGGCACTCATGCACATGTGCCTGGCATGATTGTCAAGCTGCTGAATTAGAGACTTAAACCACCTTCAGCCATGTGGGAATCCAGTGCCTTAACCACCATGACACCTGCTGGTTCTATCCATGAACTTTTTTGAAGAACTCATGTATACCCACTAAACTATTAGGTCATCGAGAAAGTCATAACATATTTTTCTGTACAAAAATGCATCATGACTCTCCTGTTGACCCAATAGTATATAAAGATTTTCCCACTAGTGTTAACGTTGAATATCACATACTTTTGATTTTGTCAGTCTGATAGGTTAAAAACTGCTATTTCATCGGGAACCAGCAGTTAGCGTAATGGCTATGTCGCTGGATTCCCATGTAGTCGACTGCGTTTCGCGTCCCCGAACCGGTGGCTTAGAACTCACGCCGGGCACGTGTGTGTGCGTGCCCAAGATCCCGAGAGGAGAATGGAGGAGAAGGGATTGCAGCGTGACCATCTCCCCCTGGGGAGTGATTTCTCGCTTTCTGTCTCTATGTCTCTCTCTGTCTGTCTGGCGAGCGCACGCGCCCTATAGCAAAAATCTCTCAAAAAAAAAAAAAAACCAAACAAAAAAAACCCTGCTATTTTATTACTTTAGATGGTATTTTGTTTATCTTGTTTTGCAGTCTTGCAAAATCAAACTTGAAGTAACCCTATTTTCTTCCTTACTAATTTTATAGTTCTGTTAACTAAGAGTAAACTTTTATATTCTTTATTATTTTATTTAACCAGATGGGATCAGCAGTATGTCATCCAACTCACCTCCATGTTCAAGTAAGCATCAGCATCCCCTTTTTCTTCATATCTTGCTTTGTGAACTTACTTGCTAGGAATAGAAATATATAGTAAGTCCGGATACACTTTCCCTGAATAAGAGTACTGTACCTCTGTTTCCTATTACAGAATTCCCTCCCTACCTCACCCCTTTTTGGGTTCTAATTATTTATCTAAAGTATAGTTTATGATTTATTGCCAAGATGATTTGCTTAGGTAAGGTTAAGGTTATTACTCCTCTTATAAGGGTCTTCACTGAGGAAAATCAAGAGAGATAGAATATTCCAGTAGCTCTTTAATTCTCTGCTTCCACATTTTCTTTCTTTCTTTTTTTATTTTTTTAGAATTACTTTATTTATTTTAATTTGACCTTTTGACCAGAGAAGGACACAGAGAGAAAGCAAGCCAGCCTCCAGGTCTAGGACTAGAATCACGGTTGGCCATGTGGGATCCAGCACCCTTAACCACCATGCTACCTGCTGGGCCCTCCACATTTTATTTCTTAAAAAATGTTCAGTTAAAATTTTAACCATAAAGCCTTGAATTGAATTTCTAAAATCAAGGCAGTGAGGCTATAGCTGGAGCCTTTAGAATCTTTGATCCACAGGGATGTTCCTCTGACAGCAGAAGAGATGGAATATGTGGTAGAAAAAGTGTTGAAGATGTTCTCCAAGTTGAATCTTCAAGAAATACCACCTTTGGTCTATCAGCTTCTAGTTATTTCCTCAAAGGTACAAATGAAAAACTACTTCTCTTTAATTCTGGTGATATACCCAGTTACAGATAGTCTACTTATTTATACCCTTGGTTCGCATGCTAAGACATTATTGCTTTCATTTAGTGTGTGGTGATTTGGTCTAGAAAAAGACCATGTTCCTCAGTCTAGGAAAACATACATGATCTCTTACAATACTGTATTTCCTTTGTGGTAATAAAAGGGATCAAGGTCTCAGAATGGGTGGACCGTGGGCCCCTTAAAGTCTAGCACTAAGAGGTATTTCAAAATTTGTTTAGACATCAAAGTATTGTATATATTCTTAGTATAATTCTGGGTGTAACTTCTTTACTTAAATCTCTCCTTGAGAATCCATTAAGCTGAAAAGTACTTTAAATTCAACTTAGTTATTTTACCCTTTTATTGGAAGACCTTACCTATTTTGTATCTTTTTCAGGGAAACAGAAAAAGTGTTCTGGAAGGAATCATATCCTTCTTCAATGACTTAGATAAGCAGCACAGCGAGGAGCAGAGTGGTGATGAGTGAGTAACAGAGAAATAAATACATTTCTACAAATTGAACTTGCTGTGTATTTTACTATATTATATTTTCTTTCCCCTCTACCTTCACTTTATCATAGAACTTCCCTAAACCTCAGCTAACTACGCAGTAATAAAGTTAGAGAATAATGCCGCCTCTAGTGCTTTCATTTGTACTTTTCCAGAAAAATAGCAGTAATTGTCTTGTAAGAGGCAGATTTAAAATTTATTTATTAAATGGCTACTCTCTTGGGAACCAGCAGTTAGCGTAATGGCTATGTCGCTGGACTCCCACGTAGTCGACCGCGGTTCGTGTCCCGGACCCGGTGGCTTAAAACTCACGCCGGGCGCGTGTGCGTGCGTGCCCAAGATCCCGAGAGGAGAATGGAGGAGAAGGGATTGCGGCGTGACCATCCCCCCTGGGGGGTGATTTCTCGCTTTCTGTCTCTATGTCTCTCTCTGTCTGTCTGGCGAGCGCACGCGCCCTACAGTGAAAATCTCTCCAAAAAAAAAAAAATGGCTACTCTCTGCCAGGAACTTTTTCACCTTGAGGGTATAGTGATGAACTAGTCAGACAAGGTCCCATTTCTCATGGAACTTACACTGTAGTGGGAAAAGAATATAATAAATAAAAAAATATATAGTGAAATGTGCTGTGTGGATAATTCAAATGGGTTGTATGACAAAAAAACATTATAATGTCCTTCTATCGGATCTACATATTGTGGCTCTTATCACTCAGACTTCACTTAAAATAGCACCTTCTAACTGAAACTGGACTGACAAAAGCCATGGTATATAAATCAGGAAGATGATCACTCTTAGATAGGAGAATAGTTACTAGTACGAAGGCAGTGCACAGTATGCATGCCTGTGCAGGTGCCAGATGCTGCTGTTCTAAGCACTTTAAAGCTCAACAGCTCTATTTTGCCTCTGGATGCCTTATGAATGTGGAAGCCAAGAGTCAGAGTTACGCTGCAGAACTCATTCTGTAAACCCTAGTGTCACCTCCTTATCTATGATTACTCCTAGTTATTTGACTTGATCATTTGATCAGAAGGTGGCCATTTGTCTGACTTATAGAAAGCTGACAGAAACACGTTTAGGAAAAAATGAGCTGTTTTGACCACATTATGTTCAAGATACATATTATCCTTCTGTAAGGAGGTGTTAAGCAGTTACAGTGGTATTGGAGAGAGGTGCCATCTGGAGATAAAAACTGGAAGAAACTAAAGCCATGAGACTAGGTGAGATTACTTAGGGGGAAAGCATGAAGAGAAAGAAACACAAGACTGAGCTGTCCACCATTTAAAGGTCAAGCAGTTGAGGATAGTGAGCCAGCGTCCCTACCCCCCAAAAAAAATTTGAGAAGAGGCCAGTGACAGTGTCCTGAAAACTAAGAGAAAGTGTTTCAAGAAACAAATGCTTAACTATGTGGAATCTGCTGAGACATTACAATGGGACTTTGTTGACTTGGCAATATGGGGGTCATTTATGACCCTTGCAGAATAGTAAATGACAGAGAGAGCAGGCTAGGGAGAGGACAGAAGCCTGAGTGAGTTGGATTGGGAAGAGAATATGAGATAAGCACGAATGATGACTACAGACCATGCTTTCAAGAATTTTCTTGCAAAAAGTGGCAGAGAACGGGGCAGTAGAAATTCTACCTATTTCTGTCTCCAGTGACCCGAGTTCAGTTTGAGTTGGTCTGCTTGTTTGTTGCACTTGTCTCTACTCAAACTACAGTTCATACCTTCCTATTAAACCTTTTAGGCTACTGGACCTTGTTACTGTTCCATCAGGTGAACTTCGTCATGTGGAAGGCACTGTTATTCTGCACATTGTGTTTGCCATCAAATTGGACTGTGAACTGGGCAGAGAACTTCTGAAACACTTAAAGGTAGTACCAAGCTCTTAAGATGATCCTGGGTCTCTATGAAATGAGAGTGGTTGAAATTAACCCTTGATTATACCAGTTAGTAAGCCCTAGATTTAAAGGATCTCCTTTCTTTCTTTCTTTCTTTCTTTCTTTTTTTTTTTTTAAGAAATATTAAATTTATATTTCTTTTCCTTTCTTCTCTTTTTTTTTTTTTTTTTTTTTTTAAGATGTCAGGAGCATATGTGTGCATGCCCAAAATCTCAACAGGATGAAGAAATGGAGAAGGGACTGCAGCATGACCACTCCCCATTGGGGGATGCTTTTCCCTCTCCCTCTCTCCCTATTTCTCTCTCTGGTGAGCATATGCACTCTCTGGTAAATTTAAAACAGAAATAAAAAATCTTAAACTTTACTTTGATTTAGTGTTTATAATAAACTATTTAAAACTATTTGGAGTGTATTGTAGAACTGAGCAAATAAGTAAATATTCTTTCTTTTAATTTGCTTTAGAGCATGTGTGCTTGCCAGAGACAAGAGACAGAAAGTGAGAAAACACCCCCTAGAGAGCACGGCCATCCCACAATCCCTTCTCCGCTTCTCCCCTAGGATTTCAGGCACACATGCATACACACCTGATGTGAGTTTCAAGCCACTGGGTCAGGACTTGAACCTGGACAACCATGTGGGAGTCCAGTGACAACCAATAGGCCAACTGCTATATATTTATTAAATTTTATTTAATTTTTTTAAAGAATTATTTTTAATTTTATTCATTCTTTCATTATTTTTATTTGATGAGAGAGAGCGAGAAAATGAGAAAGCAAGCCACCAGGTCCCAGACTTGAACCGTGGTTGGCCATGTGGGAGTGTCCAGCATCTTAAACACCACGCCATCTGCTGGTCCCATTAATATTATTTTTAACCTGATTGAAGAGTGATAAGGAGAGAAAGTAAGAAAGCAAGCTGCCAGTTTCAGGATTCAAATTGCAGTTAGCCACGTCGGAGTCCAGGTGCCTCAACCACCATGCCACCAGCTGCCCACACACCCCCCCCCTTTTTTTTTTTTAAATAAAAATAAAGATTTTTGCTATAGGACACAGAGACAGAAAGTGAGAACTCACCCCCTGGAAAGATGGCCACGCCACAATCCTTTCTCCTCCATTCTCCTATTGGGCACAAATACACTCATGCCCAGCCCGAGTTACAAGCTTCCAGCTCCTGGACTAGAACCACCACCAACCATGTGGGAGTCAGTGATGTAACCATTTCATCTGCTGGTCCTCCTCTTCTTAAATATTCTAATGAAGGGAAAAGATGAACCTTCAATATTCATTTTATAGCTAATGTTTTTCTCTTGCCCCAGAATCTAATCAGGCTTCATGTGTTGTCTTTGGTTATTATGTTTTTTCTAGTATCTTTAGATTTTTTGAAGCATTCAGCCCAGTTGTCTTGTATAATGTCCCACATTGTTGGATTTATCTGATTGTTTCCTCATGAGTAAACTCAAACACTTTTGGCATGAATACTTCAAAGGGATGTTGTATACTTTATTTTTACAAGGTTCAGCAAACTTTCTGAGAGGATCAGATACTGGTTTTTGTTTTGTTTTGTTTTTTTTGCCAAAGGACATGTGCACTTGCAGAGAGAGAGGGAAGGTGAGAAATCACCCCCAGGGAAGATGGCCCACTACTGTCCCTTCTCTTCCACACTCTCCTTGGGGTTTTGGACAGGAACATGCCTGTACTCAGCATGATTCTCAATCTGCTGGGTCCAGGCTTCAAACTGTGGTAGTCCATGTGGGAGTCCAGTGCCTTAAACCACCATGCTAGCTGCTGGCCCTGATACTAAATATTTTACTGGACTTTGCAGGCCATGTCATCTCTGTCATAACTACATAGTTCTACCATTGTAGCAAGAAGACAGCCATAGACAATACATAAATAAGTGGGCTATGTTCCAGTAAAGCTTTGTTACAGACACTGATACTGAATTTCGATTTTCACATGTTTTGACATAAAGAACCATTAAAAAAACGTAAAAACCAGTCTTAGCTCACTCTGTATAAAAGCAGGTGATAGGCTGGATGTGACTGACAGACTAGTTTGTTAGCCAGTGTTGTGTGCTCTACATCAGGAGATGTGTAATATTGGGCTGTCCAACCAGTGATGCTAAATTATATAGATAACATAATGACCATCGGTTTTCTTCATTTGTAAAGATATATGTATCTCTTTATAATCAGAAAATAATCAGTGGGATCATGATTTAAGATCCTGTAAAAATCTTTTTTCCCCAATGATCTTTCACATAATAGTTTTCATTTTCATCACAATAGTTTCACATAATAGTTTTCACATGTACTCAGTAACTGTTCTAATATGTTCTTTGGTGAAATGTCTGTTCATTCAAGTCTTTAGCCTTTTTTCTTTTTTCTTTTTTAAATTTTGCCAGAGGGCATATGTGGTTTCTGTAGAGAGAGAAGGAAAGTGAGGAAGCACCCCATCTCCCATGGAGAACAGTCATGCCTCAATCCCTTCTCCTCCATTTGTTCCTCCTTTCAGGATTTTGGGCATGCGTGAAAATGCATCTGGGATGTTTTTTCCAGCTTCTGCATCCAGGACTCCAAACTGCATAGTCGGCCCTATGGAGTTGAGCTGCCTTAACCACCACACTATGGGCTGGCCTGACCATTTTTTTATTTGTCTTCTGATTGCTGTGAAAGAATTCTTTGGATAGTTTGGATATTCTTTGGATATTTTCTGTATAGGTTCTTTGTATATACATACATATATATAGTGCATATAGCATATGTATACTATATACTATGTATAGTGTATACACGCATATATATAGTTGCTGACTCACTTGAGCTTAAATTTTTTTAGGGTGACTTAATTTTTATTGATCATTACTATTATTTTTTTTAACCAGAGAGAGAGAAATAAAGAAAGCAAGGCTCCCAGTCCAGGACTTGAACTGCGGTTGGCCATGTGGGAGACTAGTGCCATAACTATGCCACTTGCCAGCCCCTCTGTACAGGTTCTTTATCAGATGTGTACAAATAGATTTAGCTCTGGTGGTGTGCACTGGTAAGATGCCATACTCTGAAGCCCGAGGCCACATGGGAGGCCCAGGTTTGACTCCTGGCCCAATCTAAGTCTTGGGGATGGTGGCGTGCCCCTGTCATCATAGCTGCTGGGCAGACGAGGCAAGATGATCATGACTTGGAGAGAGAGTATCTTTTATAAAGAAATGTTTCCCCCAGTTTGTGACTTGTCTTTATTTTCTTGATGGTATCTTTTTTTTTTTTTTTCTCCCCTTAATGATATCTTTTGAAGCACAAAAGTTTAACATTTTGTTGGGGATCTGGTTTTATCAATTTTTTTAATAAATTAGGCTTTTAGTATTGCCCATAAAAATGTTACCTACCTACATCAAGGTCTTGGATTTTCTGTGTTTTCTTCTAAAAGGTTTTAATTTTAGCTCTTACATTTAGGTGTCCTATCCATTCAAGGACCTGTTTTTAAGTATGGTATGTTATTCTTTTATAGTGTTAAGTAGTGACTCCTATTTGGTTCTTCTCTTCTAGGCAAGACAGCAAGGAGATTCCAGTAATAATTTATGTCCCTTCAGCATTGCTCTTCTTCTCTCTGTAACAAGAATACAAAGATTTGAGGAACAGGTATTTTTTTTTTTTTAATGACATTTTGGTTTCTTTTGGGGATGATAAGAGAGGGTCCCTATGAATCTGTATTGATATTGATATTATCCATTTCTAAATAATTCCATTCACATCCTGCTAACAGCAAAGCTATTATAAAGCATGTAGGTTCTTGGGGGCTGCTGGAGGATGACTTCAGGTACTTCTTTTATATCTCTCTCAATATATTTTTTTTAAAACATTATTTATTTTATGTATTATCATTATTATTCTTTCACATGAGTTCACCAGAGAGAGGGGGAAAGTGAGAAGGCAAGCTGCCAGGTCTGAGACTTGAACCATGGTTGGTCATCTGGGAAGTCCAGCACCTGAGCCACCACGCCACCTGCTGAAAAATATGGAACGCTTCACGAATTTGCGTGTCATCCTTGCGCAGGGGCCATGCTAATCTTCTCTGTATCGTTCCAATTTTAGTATATGTGCTGCCAAAGCGAGCACTCTCTCAATATTTTTAAAAAATATTTTTAAGAATTTTATTTTTTCATTTTAATTTTTTTGAAGAATTATTTTATTTAACTTTATTTTTCAATTTGATAAGAGAGGGACAGATAGGGAGAAAATAAGAAAGCAAACCACCCAGTCTGGGACTTGAACCACAGTTGGGCTGGCCATGTGGGAGTCCAGCGCCCTTAACTGTCATGCCACCTGCTGGCCCCATTCATTTATTTTATTTTGACTAGAGTTAAAGAACGAGCAAGCAAGCCACCAGGTTCAGGACTCAAACTGTTAGCCATGCGGGCATGTCTAGTGCCTTAACAACCATGCCACTTGCTGATCCTGTACCTGTTTTCTAACATACGGTGAGCCAGGTGATGAGGTAGGAATAAGAATGGAAAGATTAATTAGCTGGATATTCAGCATATTTATTATGTCATAGTTTTTTTCTTTTTTTAAAGAATTATTTCTTATTTATTTATTTATTTAGGAAAAGTTTTTGCTGTAGGGCACATGCACTCACCAGAGAGATAGACAGAAAGCAAGAAATCACCCCTCCAGGGTGGATGGCCACGCCGCATTCCCTTCTCCTTGAATCTCCTCTCGGGATCTTGAGCACACACGCACAGACACCCGGCTTGAGTTTAAGCTGGGTCTAGGACTTGAACCGCGGTCAACTGCATGGGAGTACAGCAGCATAGCCATTACGACAACTGCTGGTCCCAGTTGTTGTTATTTTTAAAATTTGACCAGAGAGAGACAGAGAAAGGGAAAGTGAGAAAGCAAGCTGCCAGGTCCAGGCAACCATGGTTGCCTTGTGGGAGTCTAGCACCTTAACCACCATGCCACCTGCCTGCACTATGTTGTACCTTTTTAAAAAAATCATCCCTGATTGAAGTTGAAATGAATAAGAACAGGTTAGTTGCAGGAGTGGAAATACAAAATCCTTTATCCTTTTTTTTTTCTTAATGTGTTTCCATGTTGTGAGTAAAAATATCTTGTATTGCTTTTAGCCCTTTTTCTTGCTTTAGTTATTTTAGGGATACTGGTGAGTGGCAGCTTGACAGAACACTTACCAAGTTAAGGTACATTGCATGAGCTATAATTTTTGTTTCATACTCCTATTTCTCTTATTGTATTAGGTGTTTGATCTTTTAAAGAGTTCAGTTATGAAAAGCTTTAAGGATCTTCAGCTCCTCCAAGGATCAAAATTTCTTCAGAATCTAGTCCCTCAGAGATCTTGTGTTTCAACCATGATCTTGGATGTGGTAAAGAATAGGTGAGTTGGTGAGCTATGTTCAAATTAAATATAAAGTATTTAGTGTTCAAAATACAATGTGATAGACACTGTACTTCAGACCCATCAGAAAAAAAAAAAAACATGATAATGGTAATGTGAATTCAACAGATATCAAGGTTTAATCCTGCTAACAGCAATGCTATTATAATACACATAGGTCCACACTGTTCTTGATCAGCAGTGGGCCAGCAGGTGCTGTGGTGATTGAGATGCTGGACTCCCACATGGCTGACCATGGTTCAAGTCTAGGACCTGGCAGCTTGTTTCTCACCCCTACATTCCATCTCTTCCTCCCTCTGTTGAGCACATGTGCCCTGTAGCGAACTTAAAAATAACAGTAATGAGGGCCAGCAGGTGGCGTGGTGGTTAAGGCGCTGGAATTCCCACATGGCCGACCACGGTTTGAGTCCCAGACCTGGTGGCTTGCTTTCTCACTTTCCCTCTCTCTGTCTTTCTCTGGCAAAACTCATGCGAACAATAATAAATAAATAAAATAATTTAGAAAAATAATAGTAATGATAAATTACATCAATCTAAAAAGTAAAAAAAAATTTGGTCAAGCAAACTTTTTCCATATGGAAAAACCCTTGAATCTCAGGGCCTAATTTCCTAGCCACCCTGATAGCAAGAACACAAAATTGAAGTAGGTACTCCCATGGTATTACACCTATGTTCTTTCTGGTTTTCGTTCAGTGTTTTGCTATGGAGCATGTGCTTTTGCCTGAGAGACACAGAGAGGAAGAAAGTGAGAAATCACCCCACCCCCCTCAGGGGGATAGTCATGCTGCAGATCTTCCTCCTCCAGTGTTAGGATTTGGGGGCATGCATGCACAGGTGCCCCATCTGATTTTCAAGTTAGTGGATCTAGGACTGAGACTGCAAAGCCAGCCCTAGTGCCTTAACCATGCCATCTGCTGGCCAAGTTTTCTTTCTTTTTTTTTTTTTAATAAATAAAAAACATTTAGAGTTTTATTACTTTGACCATTGAAGTTTGGGGCTGATAGTTGGAGTTGAATTTTTCTTATGATTTCTGGTTTACATATATTCGATGTACATCTTTGCAGGTTATTGTTTGGTTTTTTAAAGTATGCTGACAGTGTATAGTAAGTCAAGGATATGTATATTATGCTGTGCACATTTGATAATAGTTACAATTAAAAAATGTACTGGAGGGACTAGCAGGTGGCGTGGTGGTTAAAGCGTGTCCGGCACCGTGTCCGGTGCTTTAATCACCATACCATCTACTGGGGAGAGATTTTCGCTATAGGGCGCGTGCGCTTGCCAGACAGACAGAGAGAGACATAGAGACAGAAAGTGAGAAATCACCCCCTGGGGGGATGGTCACGCCGCAATCCCTTCTCCTCCATTCTCCTCTCGGGATCTTGGGCACGCACGCACACGCACCCGGCGTGAGTTTGAAGCCACCGAGTCCGGGATGCGAACCGCGGTCAACTATGTGGGAGTCTAGTGACATAGCCATTACGCTAACTGCTGGTTCCCATTTTTTAAATTTTTTTTAAGATGTTAATTTTTTCTTGTATTTGGTGATGATTGGTTGTCTTGATATTTTCCATTAGTTTGTCTGAGCGTACAGTATCTGGTTAACACAGTGCACCTCTCCTTTCAGGCTTAAGTTCCTTTACTTGTAGATCCTATCTAGAGGCGGGTCTCTTTGTTGCTTGCTTCTCGGCATAAACTGGGAGTCCTGTGGGACCTTGGAGAAGGAAGATAAGGGAGGTGTGGGGCTGACCTGCAGCACATTGAGAGTTGGATTCCCCATGTAATCTAAGTTTTGTTTCCTTACAGTGTTCATAGTTGGGATCATGTTACTCAGGGCTTGGTTGAATTTGGCTTCATTTTAATGGACTCATATGGACCAAAGAAGATTCTTGATGGGAAAACTATGGAAACTAGCTCAGGTCCTTCTAGAATGCCAAACCAGCATGCCTGTAAGCTGGGAGCTGACATCCTGTTGGAAACATTTAAGGTGAGGTTGTAGTTTGGCAAATATTCCCTAACTTCATTTAAATGGCATTATAAGAAAGGTAAGATTTCAGCTTGGGAGTTTGAGAGGACAAGGACATTTGAGTGTGTAGCAGTTTGGCAGAGTGTGTATGACAGAGAATGAGGTGATACTGAAACATTACATAGCCAGTTTAGTAGAAAACCTCCTTTCTCATATTTTCTTCAAGTGTTTTATTTCTTCTACTTGTTTTAGCAGTAAATCATTCCTGGGTTTTGTTTTAATGCTATTCCCTTAGACAAGAAATAGTTTTGTAGGTCATTATAACACATTAACCTTGAAGAATCATGCTTATTGATTGATTGATCTTGAAGAACCCAAATGGATGATTTACTTTTATGTAACGTTACCAAACTATGACTATGATCTCAATCTTTTGAAGTGACTTTCAAAAGTTCATTTCCTTTTAAATAAAAAAAGTTGGTTAATAATTGAAGCTAAAGAACTTTGCTAGTGATTCCTCTAAGTCAACTTCGTGGCATTCAGTTGTTCATTGTAGCTACATGAGAAAAATATCTGCCAAAACATGTTATTTGGAGGCTAACCTAAATGTAAATGTAATGCTCTATCCAGAACTATGAAGTAAATGCCATAGAGTAATCCTTGAGAATTTTAAGTGTATTTAACGTTACAAATAGCTATTCTTAACAGTAATAGTTTAAAAACATAATAGGTTTTTTTAAATAGGAGAGATTTTCGCTATAGGGCGCGTGCGCTTGCCAGACAGACAGAGAGAGACATAGAGACAGAAAGTGAGAAATCACCCCCTGGGGGGATGGTCACGCCGCAATCCCTTCTCCTCCATTCTCCTCTCGGGATCTTGGGCACGCACGCACACGCACCCGGCGTGAGTTTGAAGCCACCGAGTCCGGGATGCGAACCGCGGTCAACTATGTGGGAGTCTAGTGACATAGCCATTACGCTAACTGCTGGTTCCCATTTTTTAAATTTTTTTTAAGATGTTAATTTTTTCTTGTATTTGGTGATGATTGGTTGTCTTGATATTTTCCATTAGTTTGTCTGAGCGTACAGTATCTGGTTAACACAGTGCACCTCTCCTTTCAGGCTTAAGTTCCTTTACTTGTAGATCCTATCTAGAGGCGGGTCTCTTTGTTGCTTGCTTCTCGGCATAAACTGGGAGTCCTGTGGGACCTTGGAGAAGGAAGAGAAGGGAGCTGTGGGGCTGACCTGCAGCACATTGAGAGTTGGATTCCCCATGTAATCTAAGTTTTGTTTCCTTACAGTGTTCATAGTTGGGATCATGTTACTCAGGGCTTGGTTGAATTTGGCTTCATTTTAATGGACTCATATGGACCAAAGAAGATTCTTGATGGGAAAACTATGGAAACTAGCTCAGGTCCTTCTAGAATGCCAAACCAGCATGCCTGTAAGCTGGGAGCTGACATCCTGTTGGAAACATTTAAGGTGAGGTTGTAGTTTGGCAAATATTCCCTAACTTCATTTAAATGGCATTATAAGAAAGGTAAGATTTCAGCTTGGGAGTTTGAGAGGACAAGGACATTTGAGTGTGTAGCAGTTTGGCAGAGTGTGTATGACAGAGAATGAGGTGATACTGAAACATTACATAGCCAGTTTAGTAGAAAACCTCCTTTCTCATATTTTCTTCAAGTGTTTTATTTCTTCTACTTGTTTTAGCAGTAAATCATTCCTGGGTTTTGTTTTAATGCTATTCCCTTAGACAAGAAATAGTTTTGTAGGTCATTATAACACATTAACCTTGAAGAATCATGCTTATTGATTGATTGATCTTGAAGAACCCAAATGGATGATTTACTTTTATGTAACGTTACCAAACTATGACTATGATCTCAATCTTTTGAAGTGACTTTCAAAAGTTCATTTCCTTTTAAATAAAAAAAGTTGGTTAATAATTGAAGCTAAAGAACTTTGCTAGTGATTCCTCTAAGTCAACTTCGTGGCATTCAGTTGTTCATTGTAGCTACATGAGAAAAATATCTGCCAAAACATGTTATTTGGAGGCTAACCTAAATGTAAATGTAATGCTCTATCCAGAACTATGAAGTAAATGCCATAGAGTAATCCTTGAGAATTTTAAGTGTATTTAACGTTACAAATAGCTATTCTTAACAGTAATAGTTTAAAAACATAATAGGTTTTTTTAAATACTTTCTTAAAACTAGTGAGGTTCCATTTGATTTGATATAGATGTTGGCTTTATCAAGGCATCAATAGAGCATATAAATTGCTACTAAATCACAATCTGAGGTCTGAAAGAAATTAGCTCACTCCTTAGAGTAATCAAGTAAGAATTCTAACTAAAATTCAAGCAAAAATTCAGAATAGCTCTTTGGACAACTGCTATACTTCTGTAAGATTTTTTAGGTTTCCAGAAATTTTCATGGGCTTTTAAATTTTAATTTTTAGAATAAAAGTTTTGTGTTCTGTCAAATACAGATAGATTTGGCATGTAATGGTTATCTATGTAGAATTATTCCTGTTTTGATGCTGGTCCTTATATGTAGCAATACTTTCATATGATCTGTACTTTTAGGTTAATAAACATGATATATACTCTGCTAATAAGTTATCTGAGCATAGAACGAGGGGAGAGTTGAGTAAATATCTTTACGAATGATTCACATCAAATTCTGATTTGTCTGTGAAATAAAACTTTTACTCATACCCACACTGCTTCATACTGCATAACACGGATTAGCACCCTTCCAAGCTGAGGTCACTCAACAATACTGTATTGGTTCTATTCTTTCTAGATCCATGAGATGATCAGACAAGAAATTCTGGAGCAAGTCCTCAACAGGGTTGTTACCAGAACATCCTCTCCCATCAGTCATTTCTTAGGTATTGAATGATTGAAGTTCTTAGGAATATTTTCATTTAAGTGTCAGAAGGATTTGGTCCTGGAAAAAGTTTTTTAACGATAAAAGTTTCATGTAGTGTCTTTGGTTATGGTGCCAATAAAACATAACTTACGGTCATCCATGGTTGTCAAGAAGGGAGCTGTTAATTTAGTTGGGAGTGTTTAACTAACGGGTAAAACTTGCATTTTATGTAAATGCGCTCTCTTTACTTTCAGAAGTTCTCAAGTAAGTGCTGTCCTTATGCTGCTCCTTGCTAAATTTCTGGTCTCTTAACTCCTGACCTTTTGACTTAACAAACTTTCTTCTTTGGTGACTTCCGAGTTTGTTGTATTTAATTTATATCTCTTACTATCTAAATTCACTGGCCTTTTTTCATGACCAGTTTTGTTGTTGTTTAAGAATTACTTATTTTATTTTAATTTTCTCTGGGGCACATGCATTCACAAGAGAGAGACAGAAAGAACAAGAGTGAGAACTCAAGAAAGCAAGCTGCCAGGTCTGAGACTTGAACCGCGGTCTGACCATGTGGGAGTCCTACACTTTAACCACAACTTCACCTGCCTTTTTTATTTTTAGGGTGCTTTTTTTTTACCTAAGGACACATGAGCTCACTAGAAAGAGAGTGGGGAATCACCTCTCCGTGGGGATAGCCATGCCACAATCCCTTCTCTATTCTCTTGGAATTTTGGGCACACACACATGCCCAGCATGTTTTTCAGTCCACTGGGTTCAGGACGAGTTGGCCATGTGGGATTTAGCACCTTAACTGCCATACCACCTGCTGGCCCCTCATCACCAGTTTTCTTAATTTTTCTGTATTAGTCAACACCCAGGGAGTTTAAAACTCCCCTAAAACTTTTTCATAACTTCTTTGATAACTGTAATTCTCCGCCTCTTATCCCGCCTATGATTATATTTCTTTTATTCTACTTTTCCCCACCTTCCTTTACAGCTTTGAGGTACAGTAATCTCCACTTACTTAAGGCATTACAGTATGACTTCTGACATGTGTACCATCACCACAGTCAAGTCGAATGTATCTGTTTCAAAGGTTTCCTGGTGCCTCTATCCTTAGGCTGTTTTCAGTGTTTGGCTGTTACAAATAAAGCTACCATGAGCATTCATGTATACACATCATTGTGTGGATTTCTGCATCGTTTCTCTTAAAAAATCACCTAGTAGTAGACTGGGTGTATTTTTTTTAAATTTTATTTATTCATTTATTTGTTTTAATTTGACCAGAGAGAGACAGAGAAAGAGAGAGAGCGAAAGTGAGAAAGCAAGCCACCAGGTCCAGGACTTGAACTGTGGTCAGCCATCTGGGAGTGTCCAGCACCTTAACCACTGTGCTACCTGCTGGTCCCCTGGGTGTTTTCTATAGTAGCTATGTTTTAATAGTTTAAGAAACTGCTGAATTGTTTTTCAAAGCAGTTGTACTATTTTATGTTTCTATTGGCAGTGTTTCCAGTTGCTTCCCATTGTCACCAGTACTTGATATGGTTGGTCGTTAATTTTAGACATTCTAATAGTTCTTAGAATTGTTGTTCTAAAGTCACAGACTAGTCACTTTTTTGTCCCTTTCAATTGTACTAGGGCTGCTTAAGGCAGTGCAGATGAGTCTTCTGGCTCTTAAGTAACTTACCAGAATGGAGCTGTTAAGTCCAGTGCACTTTTTTATAAATATATATGCTATTCCCTTGAGTTTGAAGTAAAACTTTGTATTATGGGGCCAATAGGTGGCATGGTGAAGGTGCTGGACTCCTACATGACTGACCATGTTTTGAGTCCGAGATCTAGTGGATTGCTTTCTCACCTCCCCGTGCCCTCCTGCCCCCATCTCTGGCCAAATCTAAAAATAGTAAATTGTGTGTATGTGTTACAGGGGCTGGTGGGTGGCATGGTGAAGGGTGGTGGACTCCCACATGGCTGACTGTAGTTTGGCAGCTTTCTCTCCCTCTCCCTCCCCTCCCCCTTTCCCTCTCTGGTCAAAATAAAATATACAGTCAGGATAATTCTTTTTTTAAAATTATTTATTGTTGTTATTTTTAATTTGACTAGAGAGAGAGAGGGAAAGTGAGAAAGCAAGCCGCCAGGTCTCGGACTCAAAACAGTCAGCTAAGCTGGGTGGGAGTCTCGCACCTTAACCACTGTGCCACCTGCTGGCCTGATGGGTTTCTCTCTTTTGGACCGTTCATTTTTGTAGGCTTGTACTATGACAGAAGCCGAAAGTATCCTGGTTACATTGGCTGGAGACAAAGTATAGAGGATCAGTAGAAATGTGATTTATTTGAGATAGGAATGTAGACCTTTTGCTATTTCTTCTCCCTGTGATTTATTTTCCTGTGATTTCAAATATGTTGTTCAAGGCAACTAATTATAGATTTTGTTTTTCAGACCTACTTTCAAATATCATCATATATTCCCCCTTAGTTCTTCAGAGTTGTTCTTCTAAAGTCACAGAAACTTTTGACTATTTGTCCTTTCTGCCTCTTGCGACTGTCCAGGGGCTGCTTAAGGCAGTGCAGGTAAGTCTGACTCCAAAGTAGCTTGCCAAACTGAAGTTTAATTCTCTAATAGAAGTCTGATGCATTTCTTACTATATGTGCGGATCTGAGAAATCCTGTTCTCCTTGAGTCTGAAATATAGCACTTTGGATTAAAAGGGTGAGAGTTATTTCCTAAGAACCAGACTGTTTTCCAAGTTTAGTGCCTCTTTATAGCACTGTTCTCTCTCCCTTGACTCATTTTTTTCATTTTGTGAAGTAGTCAAAAGTCTTGTAGAAAATTATGGAGCGGGGCCAGAAGGTAGTGTGGCAGTTAAGGCACTGGATCCCACATGACCAACTGCGTGATTCACATCCCAGATCTGGCAGCTTGAAAAACATGCCAGATGCAGGACCAGAAGATAGCATGATGGTTACATCTCTGAATTCCCACATAGTTAACCACAGTTCGAGTCTTGGACCCTGTAGTTTAAAACTCATACCAGGAACATGGTGTGTATGTGCCTAAAATCCCAAGAGGTAATTTCTTGCTTTCTGTCTCTCTGACAAGCACACACACCCTATAGCAAAAATCTCTCTCTCTCTCTCTCTCTCTCTCTCTCTCTCTCTCTGTTTTGTTTTTTAAAAAGGGGACCAAGAAATGGTGTAATGTAAATGATGTAATGGTTACATCATTTGACTCCCATGTAGTTGACCATGGTTCAAGTCCTGGACCCGATGGTTTTAAACCTCACACCAGGTGCATGTGCGTGTGTGCCCAAGATTCTAAGAGAAGAATGAAGGAGAAGGGATTGCAGTGTGGCCATCCCCTCAGGGGGATGATTTCTCTCTCTCTCTCTTCCTCTCCCCCTCCTCCAGCAAGCGCACAGACTCCATATAGCAAAAATCTCTCTCTTAAAAAAAAAAGAAAGAAAAGAAAAACAGGCACATGTGCATACATGCCCCAAATCCTTAAAGTAAAATGGAGGAAAAGGGATTGAGGCATAGCCATTCTCCTGGGGCAGTTTCTCACTTTTCCCTCACCCAGTCTCCAAAAAGCACATACCTCATAGCAAAAAAGACTACAAAATAAAAGGGATTGAGTGTGACAGGTTTACAGAGGCAGTCACAACCAGTTTTAATTATTAGTGTTTCATAGTATACTGCTGCCTTAATAATAACCACCAAACATACGTGTGTATACATACACGTGTGTGTGTACACAAAAACCACCAAACCAAAGTTCCTATGTAAGTTGGACACTAGTGTACACCTGTTTTCCGAGCTACTCAGGAAGTTGAGGCAGAAGAATCACAAATTTGAGGCCAGCCTGGGCAGCTCAGGAAGAACTTGTGTCGTCTTTTTCTCTGTGTGTGTGTATTTATATATTTATGTTTATATTTTTGGGGGATGGGGAATGTCCATACACATGCCCAGCATCATTTACAAGCCACCTGAGCCCAGGATTTGAACCGTACCATTGACCACGTGGGCTCCAGTACCTTAACCTCACACGCCCTGCTGGCCCTGAGAAGTTCCTTGTAAAATCCAATAGGTAATAAATAGGATTAGGTAGAAATGAGCTAAGGCTAATGGGCAGACTTGCTCGTTTTTTAACCACTGATTCTTCTCTCAGCCTCTTCTCAAAGTCAGCATGTCAATGAGAGACTCCTTGATACTTGTGCTTCGGAAAGCCATGTTTGCCAGGTATGTAGCATCCCTTGAGATAATAGGAGGTGATGCCTTCTTATGTTGAAGGTAGGTGTCATCCCTGCCGTCTCCCTGTAATACCTGTTCTCATTCCCCGAATAAGAATAACGACTGAGAGCAAGATAGAAAAAGCACAGGTAGTGTCATGGGTTAAGTATGTAGTGAAAAAGGTCAGCTGAATTCCTGTATTGGTAGTTGCTTTGGACAGCTAAAGCTGTTACATTATTTTGAATATATAAATATACTTTGTTTTGCTCCACGCTTTGTTGTGTATGTATATTCCTTCTCTGTAAAGAACTGGCTATATTCTTCTTATCCAGAAGTGTGCTTCTATGAAATTAATCCTGTTTGTTAACTTCTCTATTCCTGAGCTAGCCAGCTTGATGCCCGAAAATCTGCAGTGGCTGGGTTTTTGTTACTCCTGAAAAACTTCAAGGTTTTAGGCAGCCTGGCATCCTCTCAGTGCAGTCAGTCTATTGGTGTCAGTCAGGTAAGACCTGTTCACACTAACTGAAAATATGTGCATCGATACAGAAGTCAGTGATACGCAAGCGATTTTATTTCTGTTATGGTTATAAGAATGATCCCAGAACTGAGTCTGATGATCATGTTGGTATTGGCCAGCACTTACTGAGAGCAAAGTTGCTGTATCCTAGACTGTGCTATCTGTTGTAGTATGGTAGCCTGAGTGTGGCTGTTGAACACTTGATTGAAATGTGGCTACTCTAGATTCCGTTGTGCTGTAGGTAGAATTCATGTAGGGTTTTGAAGATTTCATGTGAAATAAGAGAATATTACCAAAACTCAATTTTTTATATCGATTACATGTTGAGATGATATTTTAGATTATGTTAAGTTAAATAACATTGACTTCACCTATTTTTACTTTTTTAGTGCGGCTACTAAAAAAAATTAATTACATAAGTAGCTTGGACTTGGAGGTCATATTTCTGTTGGACCACACTGTGCTAGACACTGCTTAAATGTTTTTTATTCTTATTTTATTTGTCATATTCATCCTATGAAGCTAGATACTGTTATCTCTGTTTTTGTTTTTAATTTGCCAGAGGGTATTTGCCCTCATTAGAGAGAGGGAGAGAGAGAAAGCACTTCTTCTAAGGAATGGTCACATACCATAATCCCTTAACTCTCCCTCCTTTTGGGACTTTGGGCATGCTTGCATTTGGTTTGTTTTCAGGCTGTGTCCATGGCTTGAACCACACAGTTGACCATATTGGATCCAGTCACCTTAGCCACCAACTGGCCCTTATTTTCCTTTTTAAAACAAGCCAGTCAGTTTATTTATTATGCATATTCACATCTATTAAACCTTATAATCTGACGAAATGTTTTATCTTGGTAAGATAAAACATGGCCTGGCTTCTCTTCCTTTCAGGTGTATGTGGATGTCCATAGCCGTTACAATTCTGTTGCCAATGAAACGTTTTGCCTTGAGATCATGGATAGTTTGAAGAGATGCTTAAGCCAGCAGTCTGATGTTCGACTCATGCTCTATGAGGTAAGTCAGAAGTGTAAGGGATATACCAGTCTCCTCACACACATTTTAATAATTTTTAAATCTTTTCTAGAGGGAGATCTTTGCTGCGGGTTTTTGCATTCACTAGCGAGATAGAGAGACAGAAAGCAAGAAATCTACTCTCCCCAACCCCTCCCAGGCAGGGTGGCCACACCACAATCTCTTCTTTTCCATTCCCCTTTTGGGATCTTGGGCATGCACGCACATGCATCTGGCACGAGTTTTAATTTACTAAGTCTGGGGACTTGAACCACAGTCAACTACGTGGGAGTCCAGCGACATAAACATTATGCCATCAGGTATAATCTTTGCACAGAAATCTTTCTGGTGGAATTCCATTTTCCCCCTACTTTTTGCAATTGTTTTACTCCTAATTCATTAGAACTTGGTTTTATTCATTTATTTTTTTGAGACTAAGCTTTATTAAAATTACTTTTCAAGAATATCTTTCATACTGTGGTAATGTAGGAACAAACTTGGGCTCATAGACTTTTGAAATGAAGTAATCTTCAGTGATGTTGATCAGGAAATTCTTTCATTAGTGGGATTTCTCCAGTCACCCGAATTGTATCACCTGGGAATATTCTGGACTTTTCAACGACATGTGATTTTGTATTCTCGTGATACTTGAGGTAATAATGAATAATCTAGGCAGATAAAAGCATGTGAGTAACAGCAAAGATAGTGTCAGGTTGTTATATAGACCATGTTCGGGGTGGGGAGGCGGATCCTATTTTTCAAAAATCTTATTCCAAAATTCCTCCAAAGGCCACAGCCAGTGGAGGAAGCAGCTACTGAGGGCTCAGCTCCTAGTCTTTTAGCCGTGATCTTGTAAGCTCCCACAGCTGCTGCAACCAAAGTTTCTCATCCAGGAAGTACCACAACATGTCAACAGCCCCCAGAACTTGGTTTTAGAATCTTACTTTTTTTTTCTTTTGGAGAGGTTTTTGCTATAGGGTGTGTGCCCTCACCAGAAAGACAGGGAGAGATGGAGAGACAGAAAGTGAGAAATCGCCACCCAGGGAGAATGGCCACATCATAATCCCTTCTCCTCTTGGGATCTTGGGCACACACATGCGCCCGGTGTGAATTTAAGCCAGGACTCAAACCATGGCCAACTATGTGGGAGTCTAGCAACATAACCATTACACCATCTGTTGGTCCCTCCTAAAATCAATCTTTCTTTCTTTCTTTTTTTGAGAGGTTTTTGCTGTAGGGTGCATGTGCTCTCCAGAAAAAGACAAAGACAAAGAGGGGACCAGCAGGTGGCGTGGTGGTTAAGGCGCTGGACACTCCCACATGGCCGACCATGGTTCAAGTCCTAGACCTGGTGGCTTGCCTTCTCACTTTCCCTCCCTCTCTCTCTCTCTGTCTGTGTCTCTCTGATCAAATTAGAATAAATGAATGAATAAATAAAAATAAATAATTAAAAAGAAAAAAGAAAGAGACAGAAAGTGAGAAATCACCACCCAGGGGGGATGCCATGCCATAATCCCTTCTCCATTCTCCTCTCACAATCTTGGGCACGCACACACACGAGACCGGCGTGAGTTTAAGCCACTGAGTCCCACACTCAAACCAGAATCTACTACATGGGAGTCCAGCAACATAGCCATTACGCCAACTGCTGGTCCTGAATCTTACTTTTTATTAAGTCTTCCTTTCAAAACATTTCACTTAGTTTTGGGTTTTGATTTTTCTTTTTGCTTAGTTTTCATTTTATTTATTTATTTTTTAGATTTTTACTATAGGGTATGTGTGCTCACCAGAGAGATAGAAATTGAGAAATCCTTCCCTGGGGGATGTTTACACTGCAATCCCTTCTCCATTCTTCTCTTGGGATTTTGCGCATATACGTGCCTGGCATGAGTTTTAAACCTCCAGGTCTGGTACTTGAACTGCAGTCCACTATATGGGAGTCCAGCAACATAACCATTATGCCATGTGCTGGTCCCTTTTGTTTTTATAGAAAGTTTTTTTGAGATCATGCTTTTTTTTTTTTTTTTTTTTTTTTTTTTTTTTTTACCTCTTTTTTTGTTTTTAAATTTTTTTTTTTTTTTTTTTTTTTTTTTTTTTTTTTTTGTTATACCCATTTTTATGTACTTTGTGAAGACTTATATGCCCAAGTAGGGAAAACAAAAACTCAATTTCTCCTTTTATAAACACATGTCACATCCCAAAATGTTTACGGATTTCTCCCTACCTGGAAACAAGCAATCAGTTCTGCAGGGGGCACTAGCTAGTCCTCTGAATCAGTTCATTCTGATGCTATCTGTGTACCTATAGATAGCATCAGGTACTGGTTGAGGTCTTTATCCCAAGACTGCCTTCCATTTCAGACATCAGTCACGTGTCTAGGCCTCTGGAACTTCTGACCGACCAGGTATAAGTTGGAGTTCTCATGACTCCTTCTTCAGGATTAATTAATTTGATAGAGCAGCTCACAACTGAGGGGAACATTTAAGTTTGACAGTTTATTAAAAATATTGTTTTTCTTTGTTCATGAGGTTTTTTTGTTTTTTCTTTAAGAATTTTTTTTTTAACTTTATATATTTTAATTTGACCAGAGAGGGGCAGAGTGAGAGAAAAGGGGAAAGTGAAAAAGCAAGCCACCAGGTCCGAGACTCTAACCATGGTCGGTCCAGTGCCCCTAACAATCATGCCACCTGGTGGCCCCTGTTCACGAGTTTTTGTAAGCATACATGTGAGAGAAAGTAGGAGAGGAAGATGAGTACCCTCCACAAGATGTGGTAACACCACGGTCTCCCTTCTCCAATATTTCAGCCTATCAGACTTTTGGGCATGCATGCATGTGCCCAGCATGTTTCAGGCAGACCAGGCTGAGAAATAAACCACATTTGCCATGTGGGATCAAGCTTCTCTAGAGTAACATGTACTGCTGTGCCATGGAGCTGGCGCTGTAAAGGATATTTTTCAAGGATACAAACATACAGCTAGCTGGGGTACAAATATAACTAGATGAAATGCTTACAGCCAGGTCTGGAAAAGCTGTGAGTGCAGAAACTTCTGTCCTTGTAGATTTGGGGTGCACCAGCCTCTCAACTTGGAATGTATTTGTGTTTACTTCCCAGCAAGCCTCCTTGTGTTCAGCTATGTAGAGGCTCTCTGAACTCTGGAGGTTTTTATAGAGACCTAAGTGCAGAAGCATGATTGAGGCATGGACAGCTGTGGAGAAATTGATTGATGTTAAGCAGTTATTAAAAGGGATATTATCTAATGCTAACAGCCATTGAGGAAGCACACGACCTATCGAACCTTCTTGGCTTCTCTGCAGCCTTCCTTCCTCCCAGGTATGGGACAGGCCCCTGCCAGAATAGGGTCTTAGGATTTAAGAGAAATACCCTAAAAGGGAAGGCTGCTAATATAAAACGAGAGAAAAGAATAGAGGCCTGGGACATTCCCTGACTGTGGAGTGGCAGAGTACTGCAAAGTCACAGTGACCCAGCACTTATAAATTCTGAGGATTAGTCAGATTGTTAATCCAGTTCTCAGTGATCAGATCTCTTTATATAAATAATCTAAATTTTGTGAATTCTCTCTCTCTAGCAAATGTGTTCTCCATCTTTATAAAAGAACAAGAATAAGATAAATGATATTTTGAAGTTAGGATTGTCCAAATCACTAGTATCTGTTAAAGAGCTTATTTGTTCTCTGTTTGATTCCCCTTAGGGATTTTATGATGTTCTCCGAAGGAACTCTCAGCTGGCTAGCTCAATCATGCAGACTCTGCTGTTACAGGTAAAATACAGTTTTATGGATATAGGGAAATGAGATATTGAGACGCTGAGATGTGATTGATGTTTTGCAGCCCACGTCCAACTAGGACACTGGTACACTGTGAATGTGCCTGTGGTACGTCGTGGTATTCTGGGTGGTTTTAGCCAGTGATCTCTTGCCTGTCATATTGCCGTCAGCTAGCAGTTATCCCTGAGTTAACACTCTGCATCCTAAGTCACAGAAACATTGGGAAGAACCATTTGTACAAAGGCAGCTATCAGCAACATATATGCTCATTTTTCATTTCTAAAAAAGATCTGGACAGTGAAATACTGACCTTTTTTTGCGGGGTGGGGGTTGCTATAGGGTGTGGGCACTCGCCAGAAAGAGAGACAGAGATAGAAAGCGAGAAATCACCTCCCACAAGGGATGGCCAAACCACAATCCCTTCTCTTCCATTCTCCTCTCGGGATCTTGGGTACGCACACACACATGCCCAGCGTGAGTTCAAGCCACCTAGTCCAGGAGTCGAACCCTGGTCAACTACATGGGAGTCCAGTGACATAGCCGTTACGCCAACTGCTGGTCCTGATGTTGACATCTTTTAAATCTGGGTGACATACTTGAGAATCTGTACTTCTCAACTCATGAAATATTTCAAAGAAACATCAAGAGAATTCAAATGGAGAATGTCTAGTATAAAAATCTTTGACTCTCTTAAGGACATTTATTCATTAGGTGTTAACTTGATTCTTTTTTTTTTTTTTTTGTAACTAAGAACAGTTTGCATGCCATGAAATATTTATGTTCTCTACCAAGAGGGTTTCTCTCGTGTCTCTTATTTTGCTAGACATAGGAGCATTTGTTTTCTTACTGTTCTTTCTTTGTTTTAATTTTGCTGAAGAAGCTCCATTTGAAATTAAGGTCTCAGAAATGTAGAAATGATTGAAAGGTTCTGTGCTGTCCAGCAAAAGGCTTTTACTGTGGGTTGGCTCGGTGGTAATGAACTGCCCAAGAAAAGCCGTATCTCACCTGGTAACCACTGTTTAAATCCCTACCTGGTTAGCCTGAAGCACACCAAGCATGTGTACAAGTGCCCAAGACCTGATTGGCCAGAGGACTGGAAGAATGGGATTGTGGCATGACCAGAACCCGTGGATGTTCGTCATTATCTCTCTTTCTCCCTCTTTTCCCCGGCCCCTCTCACTCACATGTGTATATGCACATGCTCTATCACGAATAAAGAAAAAGAAAGGCTTTTCATGGAGCATTGGCCTGATCCTATATAAAATTTACATGCTGTTATCTATACTATATCTTTCAAACTGTGATGATAAACCCATCTTACTGGGTTGTCAGAAAAGTCATGATGCATTTTTACTTAGAAAAAAATACATCACGTATTTCTAAACAACCCAATACTTCTACACATTAAACAGGAATGGAAAATTCTGTTCAAAGCAATGCTTCTCAACTCAGGTTAATATACCTAACAGTAAAATACTGCAGACTTCAAAACTAAAAGAAGATAAATAATAGCTAACTTATTGGGGATCAAGGGGCAGGGAGGGTGGTGGAAGCATCCCTTTTAAAAAAGAAGAAAAAGCTAACTTTTTTGTTTCAGCTCTATATTGAAGTAATATTTGAAGCACTTCACATATTGTCATGTTTAATTCTTACACAGCTTTACATGTTTATATTGATATTACCTCCCATTTTTCAGATGCAGCCCCAAGGTATGGGTATCTTTATCAAAATCAATAAGTGCTGACACTAGGATTTTGGAGTCTTTGTTCTCTCTCTTTTTTTTTTTTAAGATTTATTTAGTTTTATTTATTATTTTTGAATTTGACCAGAGAAAGACGGGGGAGGGAGGAGGTATAGTGAGAAAGCAAGTGGCTAGGTCCAGGACTCAAACCATGGTCGGCCATGTAGGAGTCCAGAGCCTTAACCACCATGCTACCCGTCAGCCCCTAGAATCTTTATTCTTAATCACCAAGCTATGCTAAAAATGCTTATTGCCCATGTAAGTTTAGGGATTGGTATGAGGGAGTATGATAAAGTTGGAGTAGAAAGACGACCCTCATCAGTTCCATGCCCAAATCAAGGGCAAGGGATGTGGGCAAGCCAGAGCAATACAGATTCTAACATGTTGTTCTTCGGGGTTCAGTAAGGTGCCATTAAAGGGAGCATATGATAAGTTACAGAAGGGAACGACATGAGCCGTAATGTCCTCCATTTTCTTTATACAGTTAAAGCAGTTCTATGAACCAAAATCTGATATACTGCCTCCTCTGAAATTAGAAGCTTGTTTTCTGACCCAAGGAGATCAGGTCTCTCTACAAGAACCACTGGTGAGAGTTTTATTCCTCCTATAATCATTATTTTTACAGTTAAGGGTAGGGTTGATCTTCATAAAGAGATAACCTTTCTTTGTTTTGTTTTGTTTTTCTTTGTAAACTCTATTCTGGTTTTTCTATTCAGGTTTTACTCTAGATCTTCCCTGCTTACCATTTCTGACCTGGTATCACCTTGGATCTATTGTTAGGGTATCTCCATATTAACCTTTACTAAATTAAGGCATTCACTAGTTTCTCTCAAGAAACATCTTCTCTCTCATTTATGGATCTTTCATCTGTGTTACTGTATACAGTAAACAAATACTCTGGATTTTGAAGGGGGAGCTACTTAGGAGATAAACCTAGGGGACTTGTTTCATTAGTCTGGAGGGAGTAAATGATTAAGGTGGAGCTAGTTAAAACTGAAGAGAGGGGCTAGGACAGGTTAATTTCCTATTGTTATCTAGCCCCAGAAAACAAGGAAGAGAAGATAAACATTGAAACTCCCCACCTCATATCACTTTAGAACTCACGGCAGGAGAAAGCAAGGCTCCTTTAATGGTTATAACCTGCCTTCATTTGTGTGCCCCCCGGCCACGAAATACCCTCAGCTTATGTCTGGGATGCTGTGTTGGTCTCCCATAGATCCTCTCAACCTCAACTCCTATCTTTTGAATCCCCTAGGATTCAAAGGATTTAACTTTTCAACTTTGCTCCAGAGGTGTTTGTATCAGACCAGAGGTAGCTTATCTGACGTTGCATTCTGAGATACCAGGAAAAGGTTTAGAAAACAATGCCTTTGTTCAGTTAGTTTTTCAGGTGCACTTTTGTTCATTCAGATGGACTTAATTGTGATGCTAATTAAGAACTTACCTTAGCCTTATAATTTGTTGATTATGAATAGCTTTATGGGTTCTTTAACATCAAAAATACTAATTTTCTTAATTTTTTTATTTTCTTCTTCTTCAACACAGGATCATCTGCTGTGCTGTATTCAGCATTGTTTGGCCTGGTATAAGAGTAAAGTGAAGCCCCTACAGCAGGGAGATGAAGAGGAAGAAGAAGAGGGATTCTACCAAGAGCTAGATGATATATTGGAGTCTATTACTAATAGAATGATTAAGAGTGAGCTAGAAGACTTTGAACTGGTAATTGTTACACCTTCAGCTATATTGAAAAATGTTTTTAGTTTTCTAAATACATTATTTTTAAAGAATTATTTATTTGATTCCATTTCTTATTTTTTAATTTGACCAGACAGAGAAAGGTAAAGCAAGAAAGCAAGCTACCAGGTCCAGGACTCTTAACTATGGTTAACCATGTGGGAATCCATCATCTTTTAACCACCACACCAGCTTGCCAGCTCCAATAATGGTTTTGTTTTGTTTTGTTTTGTTTTGTTTTGTTTTGTTTGTAGCTTATTAATCCTCCCCCCAAGGGTGATTATGTACAGGGATTCCTTTTATTTGATTTTGAGATTGACAGACAAAATTAGTGAAGAGAAATTAGAAATTGGTCTGTCCCAAATGGGCGGAATATGTGGAAGGAGGAGGGGCTTGTAGGTTATAGGTGGGTTCCACAATTCCTAGGTTGGTGATTGGAAGGGAGGATCTGTGTCCTGGGAAGAGATTCATAAATCTACGTCTCAAGGAAAGGGAAGTTCTGTGTCTTGAGAAGAGGTTAGGAAAAGAATATACTGTAATTGGTTGAATATACATCTCAAAGATACCATGCCAGGGACAGGATGCAGGAAGAATCCTGTTAAATGGAAAAAATGGTCTGTGAAAGTTTGTGGGCATGACTCCCCCTAGGCCCTCTGGAAAGGACTTTGAAAAATAGGAAAAAGCAGTCAGACTTGTCCACAGTCCCCCCTGTTGACCAAAAATTATTCCTCTGAATGCATGTGTAGGCCACAAAATTGACAGGTCCCACATTGCTAGGAAGTCTCCATCTCTAGGAGTCAAGTCCCAGGGTGCTAGGAAGGCTCATCCCTAGGAGACAGGTCCCATGACACTAGGAAGGCCCATCCCTACTAGTCAAATCCACTGTTACAGGCAGTGGAGTCCAAATCTCCCCTAAGGAGAGGCTTGGAGCTGGAGAGGGCACAAAGGGCCCACTGCTGGTACCAGGCACTGGGTTCGAAGTGTCCCCTTGGGAAGATCTCTGGTTTGTCTATGATCCCTTCGTGGTTGCCATCTTGTTGACAGAAAATAATCAACTCTAAAAATTAATAATTAATACGGTTTATTTCCAAGCAGAATATGAGTGACCTAGGCCCAGAAAAGAGGCATACATGCCTTTCTCCTAGCTTATTATTTTTTATCTTCTGTCTTTTTAGGATAAATCAGCAGATTTTTCCCAGAACACTGGTATTGGCATCAAAAATAATATCTGTGCTTCTCTTGTGATGAGTATTTGTGAGGTTCTAATAGAATATAATTTTTCCATAAGTAATTTCAGGTAAGGTATTATGATAATTCACTTAGAATTTGATGAATACTTCATTTTATGTGTTTATTTTTACTCTAACAATATGTTGGACACCAAATATGCCGAAGACTGTGGCACTATCTCTTAAATGGACATCTAACCTAAGACAGAGCTGTGTTCTTTCCATCAGAGCACGCCAAAGCATATACCAGTCAGGCCTGTGAATGTTGCCCCTCTAGCAGGTTCTCATTTATTTAAATTTCTCTAGACCCTGAACATAAGAACCCCTGGGGCTAATAGAGATACTCTGATTGGTGGTAAAATTTGACTTTCATGCTGTGCACTGAGTGGTGGGAATGCGTTGAGTGCATTGAGTAGGGGAGAGGAAAATAGCCCAGGTAGATTGTGACCATGCATTTATAATGTTATATCTAAAATACAACATTTAGGAAGAATTGTGATTTCCTTATTACTGTATGTAAAAGTAAACCTCGATATTCTGATGCTTGTCCTTAGTGGTCTCTTTTTTCCTTTTATGCAGTAAGAATAAGTTTGAGGAGGTTCTGAGCTTATTTATGTGTTACAAGAAACTCTCTGATGTCCTTAATGAAAAAACTGGTAAAGGCAAAACTAAAATGGCCAACAAAACAAATGATAGTTTTTTGTCCATGAAATTTGTGTCTGATCTTCTCATTGCTCTTTTCAGGTAAGATTTCTGCTAGAGTGCTTAATACTAACGGCTCAGTGAAGATAATAATGCCTGCCCTTTTTCACTTGTATTTCCTAGTCTGGAGGTGCAATTCTTACTCTATTTACAGTAAGAAATACATTAAGAAGTTTTAACTTTCTTAAAAGCTAGAGTTCTTTTTTTTTTTTTTTTCTTTTTTTAAGAATGACTTAATTTAATTTAATTTACTTATTTTAATTTGACCAGAGAGGGACAGAGTTGGGGGAGGGGGGTGAGAAAGCAAGCTGCCAGGTCCAGGACTCAAACTGCCATCGACCTTGTGGGAGTACAGCACCCCAACCACCATGCCACCTGCCAGCCCCAAAAGCTACAGAATTCTAAAAAGAGATACCTCAAAGGAAAATTCAAAAACAGTATACTAATGCATAAAAAAATAGGGATGAATGCCACTGGAATTCCTGGAGTGTTTTTTGTTTTTTTTTGTTTGTTTGTTTGTTTGTTTGTTTTTTTGAAGAGGTTTTCACTACAGGGCGCATGCGCTCGCCAGACAGACAGAGAGACATAGAGACAGAAAGCGAGAAATCACCCCCCAGGGAGGATGGTCATGCTGCAATCCCTTCTCCTCCATTCTCCTCTCAGGATCTTGGGCACGCACGCACACGCGCCTGGCATGAGTTTTAAGCCACCGGGTCCGGGACGTGAACCACAGTTGACTACGTGGGAGTCCAGCGACATAGCCATTACGCTAACTGCTGGTTCCCATTCTTTGAGTTAGAAAAGAAGTGTGGCATTAAAAGACCTAGCTCATGGGAGGTTATTTTCACTATAGGGCGTGTGCGCTCGCCAGACAGAGAGAGACATAGAGATAGAAAGTGAGAAATCACCCCCCAGGGGAGATGGTCACGCCGCAATCCCTTCTCCATTCTCCTCTTGGGATCTTGGGCACGCACGCACACGCACCCGGCGTGAGTTTTAAGCCACCGGGTCTGGGACGTGAACCACGGTCGACTATGTGAGAGTCCAGCGACATAGCCATTACGCTAACTGCTGGTTCCCATTCTTGGAGTTTTTTGAGAAAATTGACCAACTTGAGCACAGTAACAGATAAAAATAAAAAGAAGCAAAAAAATGAGTGAAGAAAAATGAGCCCAGTCTGATGGTGTACTCAGTAGTTAATTGGAAGCTTACTGTACTTAGTAGTGCTAGAAGCTGTGTGGTCAACTGTAGGTTTGGATCCTCCGGTCTGCCTGACGACATAATGGGTGTATGCGTGTGTGCCCAGGATTCTGACAAGCTAGAGGGCTATGGAACAAGGATTGTAGTGTGATGAGACTGTCCAGAGTCGGTCAGTAAATCTCTCACGTGCACGAGTGCACATTCTCTATCATTAATAAAATAAACTTTTAAAAGAAGGATCAGCAAGGGGCCAGCAGGTGGTGTGGTGAAGGCATCTAGATTCCCACATGGTCAACTGTGGCTCGAGTCCCAGAGCTGGTGGCTTGCTTCCTTTTTTTCCCCTTTCTAGTCAAACTGAATAATTAAGTAAAATTAAATGAGTAATTCTTTTAAAAACAACAAAATACCTTTTTTTGGAGAGATTTTTGCTATAGTGCATGTGTGCTTGCCAGAGACGAAAAGCAAGAAAGAAATCAGCCCCCAGGAGAGTTGGCCACACTTCAAACCCTTTTCCTCCATTCTCCTCTTGGGATTTTGGGCACACACACACACACACACACACCCACCCAACATGAGTCGGATTCGAACCAGGTTGGCCATGTGGTAGTCCAGCACCTTAATCACTGTGCCACTTGGCTGGCCTCAACAAAAGATTTTTAAAAGACCAAGACTGGCATTTCTATTTTATGAAAGTAAAAGACTGGGGAAGGGAAAGAAGATGAGTATGCTAAGCATGGAGATGGTAGAAGAGTGGCCATGGCAATGAGTCTGGCATTTAGAGCTTGCTGGGGACTGCTGTCTTGTACAGTCCCTAGAAAGCATAATTTCAGATCACAGTAGCAGTAGAGGAATCTCTTATTTTCTCTCTAGGGATAGTACCCAAAGCCATGAAGAGAGCCTGTCTGTTCTCAGGTCCAGCAATGAGTTTATGCGCTATGTAGTGAATGTAGCTCTTCAGAAAGTACAACAACTAAGGGAAACAGGGCACGTGAGTGGCCCTGATGGCCAAAACTCGGACAAGATCTTTCAGAACCTCTGTGACATAACTCGGTAAGCCCCTCCCACCCTCAGAAACCTGTTTGCTTTTCCTGTAGGATCACTAGGGGTGAAATACAGGGTCGGATGAAGGTGGTTTGAAACTAGACATGCTGTAAGATTGAAGGTATAGTCGGTAACATTGGGTCTTTGTCCTAGTCCTACTGTTTAATGCCGGAAGTCTGAATAACCCCCACACCTCCCTTTTGCTCTCGTTAATACTATTCAACATCGTGTTGGAGGTCCAAGCCAATGCAATAAGGCAGGGGAAAAAATAAAAGGCATCTATATTGGGAAGGAAAAAATAGCAGTCTTGATTCACAGGCAGTATAATTGGTTGTGTACAAACCTGCCTTTCTTTTTTTTATTTTTTTTTTATTATTCAGACATTAAATGGCTATACATCATTTAGATTGTGAAGAGACTTCACCCAGTGAACCTGCCTTTCTAAATAAAGTTACTTCCCCCTTCTTCAGGGTCTTACTGTGGAGATACACTTCAATTCCTACTGCGGTAGAAGAGTCGGGGAAGAAGGAGAAAGGAAAGAGCATCTCACTGCTGTGCTTGGAGGGCTTGCAGAAGATATTCAGTGCCGTGGAGCAGTTCTATCAGTCCCGGATTCAGCACTTTCTCAGGGCTCTGGGTTGGCATGTCATTATTGATAAATTAGATTATTCTGGGTTTCTCCAATTATTTATTTACATATTTTTAAGTTTGCTAGAGGGCGCATGTGCTAGTGGGAGAGAGAGAGGGAGGGGGGGATCAGAAATCACCCCATAGGGGCAATCGCCATGCCATAATCCCTTCTGATTTTTTGTTTCTCAGAATTTTGAGCACTTACACATGCCCAACATTGGTTTTTTGTTTGTTTTTAAGAGGGATTTTTGCTATAGGACCCATGTGCTCAACAGAGAGATAGAAAGTGAGAAATTAGCCATGGGGGGTGGCCACGCTGCAATCCCTTTTCCATTCTCTCAGGATTTTGGGGTGTGCACAAGCACCCAGTGAGAGTTTCTAGCCGCCGGATCCGGGACTCAAACTACAGTCAACTATGTGGGAGTCCAGCAACATAACCCTTAAGCCATCTGCTGGTCTGCCCAATGTGGGTTTTTTGGCGGGGGGGGGGGGGTTTTTTCTTGCGGATGCGCTCACCAGGCAGAGAGAGACAGACAGAAAGCGAGAAATCACCCCCCCAGGGGGGATGGTCACGCTGCAATCCCTTGTCCTCCATTCTCCTCACGGCCCGGCGTGAGTTTTAAGCCACTGGGTCCGGGACGCGAACTGCGGTCGACTACGCGGGAGTCCAGTGACATAGCCATTACACTAACTGCTGGTTCCCTGCCCAATGTGTTTTTTTTTAAAGCCACTGAGTCCAGGGTTCAAATAGCAGTCAGCCATGTGGCATCTGGCCGCCATAACCACCGTACTACTGACTGGACCCAGGGTTTCTCCTTTTTAACCAAACTCCTTGCTTCTGTTTGTAATCTTACCTGAGAACAGTCCTAATCTTGTTAAGGAGTGACATCTAGTGGATTCAGGATTGCCACTTACTGGGTTCTTTTTACCACAGATGGTGACTACAGAATGCAATACAGTGTTAAGAAATGTTAAACTTTAGAAATACATATAAATCTGCTCCAGACTTTTTTGGCTTTCTGAAATACTAGCTACTGAAAGGCCAAAAAAAAAAAAAAAAATGAGTCTGTATCAGAGAATATAGAGGTCGTTTCCATTCCTACATGTCACAGATAAGGAAGGAGAAGAGGAAGAAGATGCTGGAGTCAGTGTCACTCAGAGAGCTGCATTCCAGATCCGGCAGTTTCAGGTGAGAAGCATTTGGAAGCTGCTGTGTGGGCCTGAGAGTCCTCACAGAGGGCCTGTTAGCAGGGAAGGCTGGTAAGGACAGACAGTGAACTAGCAGTATGTGAATTTTTTCTTGATCACATTCAAGCATAAGATAACAGTTCTTAGAGTGGAAGCTAATGAATTCCAAAGGATCCTAGTGAGGGTGTGTGTTGAGCCACCCCAACCTGCAGACTGCTGTCAAGAAGCACTGCTAGGGAACCAGCAGTTAGCGTAATGGCTATGTGGCTGGACTCCCACGTAGTCGACCGCAGTTCGCATCCTAGAACCGGTGGCTTAAAACCCACGCTGGGCGCGTGTGCGTGCGTGCCCAAGATCCTGAGAGGAGAATGGAGGAGAAGGGATTGTGGCGTGACCATCCACCCTGGGGGGTGATTTCTCGCTTTCTGTCTCTCTGTCTCTGTCTGGCGAGCACACGCGCCCTATAGTGAAAAAAAACTCTCAAAAAAAAAAAAAGCACTGCTAGAGTCAACAGAGCCAGGGGCCCTTCCAGGTATGGAGTTCCTGTTTTTGAGGGCGTGATATCATTTGGCCTCGTTTGAAAAGTTACATAGAGATGGGACAATGGATCCTTTTAGCTGCTAACCAGTCGTTGTCAGAAAAATCAAGATATTCCCACAGAGGATTTAAAGTTCGTACTTGGTACCAGAAACTGCTCTAGGTGCTGGTGAAATGGAATAAAAAGACAAAAAACACCTGTCACCATGGAGCTTACATTATAGTGGGAAAAGAGTGACAAATACATGTCCTTAGTATTTCAGGTAATGGGAAGGCGTTTAATGAATTCTGGGTTTGGGGCGGTGCAGGCTCCAGGGTGTTATGAACCACCGAAATTAGGTACACAGTTCATTTCTAATGTACATTTGGCACGGGGTTACAGGAAGAGAGTCCACAGTTTTCAAAAGATTTCTCAGGTTTGTGATAAAAAAAACAGGGTATGAAACTACTGTTTAATAAACTACTGCTTACTTTCAGAATCTGTTCTCTTAGAATTTTGGTAACTCTGAGTTCTTTTTATCCTACCCTTAAAAACCTCAGACTAGATGTTTCTTCTGATAGGAATTTATCTAATGTGTTTCCTTTCACAGAGATCCCTATTGAATTTACTTAGTGAGAAAGAAGATTTTAACAGCAAAGAAGCCTCCCTGCTAGTCACTGTTCTCTCCAGCTTGTCCAGACTACTGGAGCCCTCATCTCCTCAGGTACCACTCATTCACCTAGCCCATTTAGCGTCCGTCGGAAGACAAGGATGATTGCATTGCAAAGCATACATCAGAGTGTTCCTTTGAAGTCTAGCTTATTTAAAATAATATATTTAATTATATACCTTTGATAATAGAGAACCTATGAGAGGTGTCCTTTCCTGCATCATGTGCACAGCCACACAGGGCAAGAACATACTGCTCTTGTCATTTGACCATTGTCAAGGGTGAACTGAACAAACACTACAAAAAATATATGTTTGTCTTTGGTGCTTTTGACCTTATCCTGCATTCTTTCCCAGTGTGATATTTTTCCATTTTTTCCCCCCAAAATGAAAGTATTTCAGTTATGAAGAAGTTAACTGACACTCGGCGGTTGGCTTTCTCAGTACACTTACAGGCTACTGACTTTGAGGGGAATTCAACAAAAATGATTAAGCCAGAAAGGGTGACTGCAATCTCAAAGCAGGAACAGCTCTGTGGAGAGGGGTTATGTGCATATTTGTATGTATGTAAACATAGGTGTGCACACCTGAGTGGTCACACAGAGTAGGAGGAGGGCTGCGTTTTGTGGATGTTTCAGAAGTAGTTTCACGGTGGGATGGTAAAGAGCATCCTTAGCACCCCAGGGCTGTGTCCGCTCCACATGTACTTCCTGGTTTGTGAAGAAGTCGAAGCCCCAGGGTGTGAGGCCCTTAGGAACCTTGCCTCAGGAAGACCTAGTCTAGAAAAGAAACCTGGTTTTACAGTTCTAGTTCCAGATTAACCCAAAGAAAATTTTGCTACTTGCAGCTCCAAACAACTCATCCTACTCTTCCAGCTTTTCTCCATACTGCTGCTTTTGGTGCAAAGAGGAAAAGAGTAGGAAGGAAAGAAACAATTAAGATGAGGGGGAAATGAATGAATTTGAAAAGGCCAGTCAGTACAGGAAAGTTTAATTTGCTTTTCACCATCCATTCCTTCATCCTTTAACCTCAGGTAGTCTATTTAAAATTTTTTTTATTTAAATTTTCAGATTTATCTTAAGTGCTTTCCCCCATCCAAGTCCTCCAGTCATTGTTTGTCCTCTCTCCAAACATTTAGTTCCTTATGTATACTTCTCAAGAGTTTCTTGATTCTTGTACATGCAAATACATACATTCTAATTCTCAACCCTGCCTCCTCATGTACTATATCATGTTTATTTCATTTAACACTATATTCTGGAGATTGTTTTTTAAATCAGTTCATAGAGCTTGTGTTCTCACTTTCCCTCTCATCTCTTTCTCTCTCTGGTCAAAATAAATAAATAGTTAAATAAAATCATTCTTTTAAAAAAAAAAAAAAAACTTAGTGACTGACAGATGGTGTGGTGGTTAAGGGCACTGGACTTCCCCCATGTGGCCGACCACGGTTTGAGTCCCAGACATGGCAGTTTGCTTTCTTACTTTCCCCCTCTCTCACTCTGTCCCTCTCTGGTCAAATTTAAATAAGTAAATAAATAATTCTTTAAAAAAATAAAAATCAGTTCATAGAGACTTTCAGTTAGCCTCTTAATTTACTTGACAAAACTGGATTATTAATTTCCCCTTAAGTATCACTGCATTTTAGTGCCCTTGTAGCTGAAGCACTGTTGAACTTATTTTTTTTTAACTATATTGTTTTTTTGTTTGTTTGTTTTGAGGTTTTTGCTATAGGGCACACCAGAGAGAGACAGAAAGTAAGAAATCACCCGCCAGGGGGGATGGCCACGCTGCAATCCCTTCTCCATTCTCCTCTCGGGATCTTGGGCATGCACGCACATGCGCCCAGTGTAAGTTTAAGGCACCGGGTCCAGGACTCGAACCACAGTCAACTACATGGGAGTCCAGCGACATAGCCATTGGGACAACTGCTGGTCCCACCTGTTGAACTCTTAAGGCAGAAAGTTGGGTATATGTCTGGAGACATAAACCTCTGCTATCTAAAGACCCCTTTACCCACCTATAAAAATTATTTACTTTCTTTGATTTCTTTTTTCCTTCCCTCTCTTCCATTTTCCCTCTTTTTAGGACATTGCGCATGCATGCACACGTGCCTGCTGTGGATTTTTAAGCCACCAGGTCCGGGACACAAACTGCTGTCAGTCATGTGAGATCTAGCTGCCTTAATCACACCACAGGCTGCCCCAATTTCTCTCTCTCTCTCTCTCTCTCTCTCTCTCTCTCTCTCTCTCTAAACCTTTTATAACCTCTTCTGGCCTCTTAGCTTCTAAAAGCTAGTTTTGCTCTCCTTATGACTAAGGTTTTTGTCTTCCACAGCTCTCTATCAACCTCATATTCTAAAAGATGTCTGTAGTGTGGAAGAGAGTAGAAGCATGAGAAGGAAAGGAAGAGTCTTTGGTCTTAGGTCACTGTGGTGTGGGCAGAGGAAGCTTAGCTTTATAGACTCAGACTCACCTTGGCCTTTGTCCCTTAATGAGGGCATTGAGAATTAAATCACACGTGATATTTTGAGAAAAGTATAATACTTTTGGACTGTCAGAAAAGTCACGACACTTCCAACAACCCGATATTACTGTATATTAGAAGAGTATATATAGTATATTATTGTAGTAGGTGATACTAATCTTGTAATTGTAATCTTCGACTTACTTTTATGTTATTTATAGTAGACTACTACTATAGAACTAGGCACTTGTTCTGGCAGGTTATTAGCTTAGACTCGGAAAAGTCTAGGACTCTTCTCTTCTGACAAGACCTAGGTCTATCTTTGGCATGTTTCCTTAGTATCTGAATGCTTTCTCATTTAGTTTGTGCAGATGTTAGCCTGGACATCGAAGATATGCAAGGAAAACAGCTGGGGTAAGTTTTCTACTATGTTTCCCTTTTTTATGTGTTTTAAAGGGTTATTTAACTTTAGTACTACTATTTTTTCCTAGTTTGATCAGAGAGATGGAGAAAGAGAGGGAAAGTGAGAAAGCAAGCCATAGTTGGCTGTGGTTGTCCAGTGCCTTTACCCACCATGCCACCTGCTGGCCCCTCTGTTGTGTTTCTTAGCGGCTTTAATCATCACCACAAAATAACATTTAGAAAAGAAAAGGCCTTCCCCACTACACATTCACCAGAGTGGACAAAATGAAAAAGATACGTAATGCCAAGTGCTAGGGAGAATACAGGGACATTTCCCTTCTCGGTCACTACTGGTGGAGAGGGATATTAGTTTCACCACTCTGGGAAACTGGTAATATCTGACTACTGAAATCTCACATGTACTTAGGACTTAGCAGTTACTCCCAACAGAAATTTGTGGGAGAATTCTCACAGCACACTATTTAATAGGTGAGGCCAAACCTAAATGTTCATTTGTGGTAGGATGGATAAAGGAATTGTGATGTATTCACACAGTGGAATACCACAGCCTTGAGAATGTACCTAAACACAACAGCACGGAGAGGACATCACACAAAATGCAGACTAAAAGAAGCCAGACATACACTTAATAACGTTCAAAATCAGGACAGGATAAGTTTCCTTGATGGGGCAAGTGAGCCAGGAGAGTCTCTAGGTAGGGCATACGTCATGTACTTGATCTGAGTGTCAGTTACACACTGATCATGACTAATCACAGGAAGAAACATTTGCCTTTGGTGGGCACGCAGATGGAAGGACATTATGGAGGAGCACTGCTAGGTTGGAGAGTAACACTGTGATGTTGGGCTGGGACATGATGAACTATGTTCTAGCTCTCCCCTACACACTCACCAGAAGGGCCTGACTGGGTCATAACTTCCCCTTTTTATCGTCTTTCCTTTCTACTGCTAGAGGATACCTCATTTTGCAAGAGCTTAATGAACTTGCTCTTCAGCCTGCATGTTTTATATAAGAGTCCCGTAACCCTGCTACGTGACTTGTCTCAGGATATCCATGGTCAGCTGGGAGACATAGATCAGGTACTGTAGTGAGCCCTCAGTACAACACCCTGTGTGGGGATGGAGGTCAAGGAAATAGCCTTTCTGCCATTATGGTCTCACCT